TGAATCAAAGGGATTCAAAGGGCGTAATGCTGCTGAGGGGGTGATCTCACAAGCCTGAAAGCAACTTTGAAACCAGCTGCCACAATTGGTGTTGTCACAAGTTGTCACAAGAAATATATACAAACAAATGAATGCTCTTTTGGTTCCCCCAACGATGCGGTGGTTTGCCAGAAGCGAAAAAGTTCAGGAATGCATTTGGGTTTGGTTTTCTTTGGTTTTCTTGTCTTGTGTTGCCTTTGGATGGAGTAAACGCTTTTGTAGTGCATCTACTGCAGGGGTAGGAGTGATTTTTTCCCCATTCTGGGCGTTTTATGGCGTTTTGAGGCCGCGGAAAGCGGACTCTCCGAGGGTGAGGTGCATCACCTATGGCGAAATTGCGCAAGACGATGCGAGCCCGAGTGGTTCAATGTGGTTTCGATATGTTTCGATGTTTTTATTTTGTTGGCGTTGAATAGGTTGGGCATTCGTGGAATTTGCATACAATACAGATTGTCCTGCTGTGAGTAGCAAATCAAGCAATGCGTTCTGCTCAGCTTCGCAGGCTCTTGAAGAAGGAACTGGAAGAGATGCCAGTAGATGAAATGCTGATCATGTTCGTGCATTCGCGATTGACCCGATTGACCTGCTGGATTTGGCGCAGCGGTGCTTCCACAACTTCGCAAACATTGACGAAATACCTCTGGGCAACGACCAAGTTATCCACTTTAGATAACAACTCATCATAACTTATCCAAAATGGCCGAAGAGTTGAAAACACAAAAACCATCCAATCCCAGTTCAATAAAAGTTATTTCCTTGGGTATTGAGTTGTGAACAATGTTGCCAAGGCCAAGAGTGCTGCTCGCAAAGAAAGAAAAGCAGCATTGAAGGCTCCAGCTGAAAATGATATCCATGATCATGCCATGATCCTGTGATATCCTGTGTACGTTTTATGTGCAATTACTTTTGTTTGTATTCAACGCTGTGCAACTGCATATATACATACTATATATTATATATATATATACAATTATATACAGATATTTTGAGATAGTATGCATATGATTGTTGTTTATTTGTATAAAGCACTCCATAATGTGTATAACAACCCCAAAAAGAAGAAGAACAATTGAACGTTTTTTCCAGGATGTTATATATAGATGCTGCTTTTGTCCACAATTTCAAGGTTTCCAACTTGTCTATCGACTTGGGGGTTGCTAATCCGCATATACGGAATTTAGACTGCGTTGATACATACATATGTATATATGTATACGTATGTATATAGAGAGATTGTGTAAATCACCTTGTCTTACATTATAACACATTGCTTGCATTGTATCTTATGCCATACCATACTGGCATAGCATTCCCCGCATACCATACACACAGACACACGCACCTAAAAGCCATATAAAAACAATCATGATAATCATGCATTCAAAAATTGCGCCTGTTGGCGTGACTATCAGAAAAAACTTCAGTCAGACAGATGTTACTTGATCTTATTGTTTCAAAGTCAAGATTGCTGGACAGGCAGTCTGAAGCTGAAGTAAACCGTGACTAAATCCAGTGAATTGTCTTCTGCACAATCACTTCACAGATTGAGCATGGGCGAACAGGCCATGAAAAGAGAACGACGGGCGCAATCCCCAAAGGCAATTGATTTCGCTGCGGGAGCAGGTTGCGTTTATGATGGTATTTATATATCATTATATATCTATATATTACATTATATTATATACATCATACTATATATATATACATATGTATAATATATATGTATAATATATATATATACAGTATATACATATGTAGCTCTACATATCATATTTCGGCGAACACAGGTGCATCTTGAAACCACAGCACAATGTCCCCCAGTTATCCTGGTACGCTTCCTATTCCATCAGTTTTTGGATGCAACTCAACTGCTCTGAAAGGACAAAGCAGATGCAAAGCGAAAGCCTTGCGACAAATGCAATCGCAGTGTGGACTTGCACGGGCCAAAGACAGGAGCCAAGACTTGTCGAAATCATTCAAACTCTGTAGAATCTCACATGTAGTACGCGCAAAATCAGGTTTAAAAAAAACACTCTGTTTGATGTATGATTGTTTCAACCAAGGCTTGTACGCTGCCGAATAGACGTATCACAAAAGTGGTTTATGTCTTGGACTCGGTGTGGGTGTAAAAATGAAATTAAATCAAGCTAAGCGACTGACAGCTAAAGACTTGCATTGTGCTGACTCCGACTCGGCATGTCTGTTTTTGGTTAGGGTTCATTCTCCTCAATTGTCTCATCGGCGCAAGCCACTGATCAAGGTTATGTGGACGTTGCTGGCACTCCGTTTCTGGCGGTGTGCCAGATGGTGACTCCGAGCCAAGCACTCAGAGTCCAAAACACATCAAAACACACAATCCAAGCGCATGTGCAGCCGATGCACTTGACACAGCCAGTGGGTCTCGGGGGAAGTTTCCCAAACCATGATTTGGATTGATTTGGTTGTGTGCTGGTATACCAATGTATACCAATGTATACCATAAAAATGCCATCTATGGAGATCTGGAGAAAGTGATGATACAACTTTGGATTTGAGTGTGCCCAGTTTGGACACACCCGTTTGTTGCATCGTTATCAGGGGCTCCAAAATAGTTCCAATACTGAACTGAACGGGGAGATACAAGGAGTCAAGACCGTAGAAAGTGCAGCCTTCGGCAATTCGACAAGGCATCCACACTACAAATATGGCGGACTCTGGAAAAATCGAGCAGCGAAGGCATGGCAGCATGACAAGACACAAGAACATGCAAGAACTGCTTGCTGCATTGCTGTGCAAAATTTGCCGGAAGTCCTGAGGCAAATCAGATGCGGAGTCTGACAGATTGATATGAAGACAGAGATGAATAAGCAAGTCCTGAAGAAAGAAATCCGACGAAGCAGACAATGTACAATTCAATATATATATACACATTAAATTCATATTGTATGGTCTTTCCATCATTTTCCATCAAGATGCAAGCTACGCCGAATTTGGGTAGAGCCAAGGTGACAACTCCGAGTTTTGCCGGAGCCAAGGTGAAGGCTCTTCCAGAGCAAAACTGATATCAGATTTAGTTCGATTCAAAAGATTTGAAGAGATTTGAAGAGCCTCAAGCCCGTCGAATTCGAAATTCGAGTCGAATTCGAGTGTTGGACTATTAATAATTAATACTGGGTGAAAGCCCTTTCTTGTCTCAGATAGCACTTTGTTGTCTCATCTCGGTGTGCCATGCGGAGGAAGTGACACAACCACTGGAATGAATTACTACATGATTTGTTATTTGGTATGATCTTTACAGCACAACGCATAGGCACGCAGGGATTCTTAACATGGCAAACATGAGTTATATCAAGTTATATCCATTTGCCCCCTAACAATCCCTGGAGCAACGTGAGTTTCCCACACAGTGTGTACACACTCGGGGGTCTTGTGATCGGTCCTCCTCCTCCTCCTTTTCCTCCTCCTCCTCCTCCTCAGTATCATCATCCTCCTCCTCCACATCATCATTCTCAGCATCATCCTCGACCTCCCCCTTAACATCATCATCCTCAACATCGTCATCCTCCACCTCATTTTCTGCAACATCCTCCTCCTCCACCTCCTCTTCCGCAACATTAATTATCATCCTTTTCATCCTCCTCCTCAACATGATCATCCTCAACATCATTATCTTCCTCCTTCTCAACATCGTCATCCTCCACCTCATCATCCTCCACATCATCATCCTCTACCTCATCTTCCGCAACATCATCCTCCTCCACCTCATCTTCCGGACCTATCCACATCGTTTTCACCGTTTACTGTTTTTGATCTGACGTGGGGATACGTGGGGTGGGTTCTGGCTGGGATGGCAAAATGTAATTCCGGTACCTCGTCCGGTATCTCGTCCGGTACCTCGTCCAAAAACCTTTCCAGAGTCATGATTCTGATATTACATCCATATTCCATATATGTCTCGGATTCCCTTACAGCAGGGCAGGGTGTGATTTCAATGTGATTAATTTCAAACTTTTTTTGTGAAAGTCATCCACTCGCCTGCAAGTGTGCCATTGGGGTTTTGGCTCTCATGAGAATGGAAACCTTTATTCTGTTTCTTTTGGATCTTTTGTGCATACCAGAAGGCAAGCTAGTGATGCTGTTTCAATGCTTGGCTAAGCTTTTGACCTGGAATTGCTTTTGGCGATGTGCCCTTGAGATTTGACTCCAAGTTGACAGGTCGCACCTTCCCAAATTCTGATTCCTAGCATAGCTAAATTCAAGCTAGGAACATGATTCAAAGTTTGCAACGACTTCGTGAAAGTCTTCCACTCTCCTGCAAGTGTGCCATTGGGATTTTTTGTTTTTGAGAATGGACACCCTTTATTTTGTTTTTTTGGGAAATTCTAATATACCAGAACGCAAGCTGGCGATGCTGTTTCAATGCTTGGCTGAGCTTTTGACCTGGAATTGCTTTTGGCGGTGTGCCATTGGGATTTGACTCCGAGTTGACAGGTCGCACCTTCCCATATTCTGATTCCGGGCATAGCTAAATGCAACTAGGGACATGATTCAAAGTTTGCAACGACTTCGTGAAAGTCTTCCACTCTCCTGCAAGTGTGCCATTGGGGTTTTAGTTTTTTTTGAGAGTGGACACCCTTTATTTTGTTTCTTTTGGAAATTCTAATATACCAGAACGCAAGCTGGCGATGCTGTTTCAATGCTTGGCTAAGCTTTTGACCTGGAATTGCTTTTGGCGGTGTGCCATTGGGATTTGACTCCGAGTTGACAGGTCGCACCTTCCCATATTCTGATTCCGGGCATAGCTAAATGCAACTAGGGACATGATTCAAAGTTTGCAACGACTTCGTGAAAGTCTTCCACTCTCCTGCAAGTGTGCCATTGGGATTTTATTTTTTTTGAGAATGGACACCCTTTATTTTGTTTCTCTTGGAAATACCAGAACGCAAGCTGGTGATGCTGTTTCAATGCTTGGCTAAGCTTTTGACCTGGAATTGCTTTTGGCGGTGTGCCATTGGGATTTGACTCCGAGTTGGCAGGTCGCACCTTCCCATATTCTGATTCCTAGCATAGCTAAATGCAACTAGGGACATGATTCAAAGTTTGAAACGACTTCGTGAAAGTCTTCCACTCTCCTGCAAGTGTGCCATTGGGATTTTTTGCTTCTATGAGAATGAACACCCTTTATTTTGTTTCTTTTGGAAATACCAGAGCGCAAGCTGGTGATGCTGTTTCAATGCTTGGCTAAGCTTTTGACCTGGAATTGCTTTTGGCGGTGTGCCAGTCAGATTTGACTCCGAGTTGACAGGTCGCACCTTCCCATATGATTCCTAGCAAAGCTAAATGCAACTACGGTAGGGACATGATTCAAAGTTTGCAACGACTTCGTGAAAGTCTTCCACTCTCCTGCAAATGTGCCATTGGGATTTTTTGCTTCTATGAGAATGAACACCCTTTATTTTGTTTCTTTTGGAGATACCAGAACGCAAGCTGGTGATGCTGTTTCAATGCTTGGCTAAGCTTTTGGCCTGGAATTGCTTTTGGCGGTGTGCCATTGGGATTTGACTCCAAGTTGACAGGTCGCACCTTCCCATTTTCTGATTCCGGGCATAGCTAAATGCAAGCTAGGGACATGATTCAAAGTTTGCAACGACTTCAAAACATGATGCATCTGAGCCGCTGTGCCTTGGGGATTTGAAACCTGGGGTAACTATTGTCTGCCCTGGGGTAACTCGGTGTGCCTTGCGGATGGGGTAACTACTAGGTGGATGGGGTAAGTAAGGGCGTCCGCTTGTATAGTATATATATATATTTATATGGTTCAATAAGGCGGAAAGAGGAAAACGCGTACACACATTTGAAAAACTACAGTCATCAATAAGTGGAAAGAAACTACAGTATATAGTACTTCTTGCAATACAAGGCCCCACTGCAGTCTTGGGCCACTGAAAAGTGGCCTGGCTCAGCCAAGGTCAAGAAACCTGGCTGCCTCTTTACCATGCAGGAGATCTGCTGGTTGACCATGGTTAAATTTGAGCAATGACTCTATATAGAGGCTTTCAGCCATCCTGCTACAAAAAGCTGCTTATGTACTGTACATTATCATCATGTAGAAACATGTAGAAAAGTGTATATGCACTGAACATGGAGCATCTGTTCCAAACTGTTTGGGACCCAAGTGGGTTCAGGATGTGCTTGGATAGATTATTTGAGTTGATATTCCAAGAGTGCCGATGCCAAGGAGCCCTACCCCGTTTTTGAGGTTCCCAAAGAGGTCCAGGGACATGGCGACTCCGGGTGAATCGCGCTGGAAAGCTTCCCAGTGATGTGTATTTGGGTCACTCATACCAAGGGTCACAATGGTCATGTTCGTTGTAGCCCATCCCATGCGTTTTCCAATTTTGGGGGGATCAGTATCATGGTCCTTTCAGGCCGTCAGCCGTTACCCAAGTCCATGGATTTGGACTGGTTTGGACTGGTTTGGGCATGGTTGTTGTGTGCACTGCCATGTCAGCCATGTGGAGGTCAAGCAAAAGCCCGGGAACGAGGGGCGACGTGGCATGAGGAGGCATCGGGGTCAGGGCTACCCCCGTGTATGTGCCAGGAACAGCTACAGTGAACGAGCTCCACCCTCCGTTGGAAAATGGGCATTCCAGTGCCAGAGACATCTAAGAAAACTGATTTTGCGAATGACGCATGAATCAAGAATCAACGAGATGTAGCTGGCAATAATTGGAAAAGAGATCACTGTTGTTGCTGCTGCTGCTGCTGTTGCTGTTGGTGCTGTTGTTGTTGTTGTTGTTGCTGTTGCTGTTGCTGTTGCTGTTTCTGTTGTTGTTGCTGTTGTTGTTGTTGTTGTTGGTTGTTGTTGTTGTTGTTGTTGTTGGTTGTTGTTGTTGTTGTTGTTTGTTGTTGTTTGTTGTTGTTTGTTTGTTTGTTTGTTTGTTTGTTTGTTTGTTGTTGTTGTTGGTTGTTGTTGTTGGTTGTTGTTGTTGGTTGTTGTTGTTGTTGGTTGTTGTTGTTGTTGTTGTTGTTGTTGTTGTTGTTGTTGTTGTTGTTGTTGTTTGTTGGTGTTGTTGGTGTTGTTGGCGTTGTTGGTGTTGGTGTTGGCGTTGGTGTTGGTGTTGGTGGTGTTGGTGGTGTTGGTGTTGTTGGTGGTGTTGGTGTTGTTGGTGTTGTTGGTGTTGTTGGTGTTGTTGGCGTTGTTGGCGTTGTTGGCGTTGTTGGCGTTGTTGGCGTTGTTGGCGTTGTTGGCGTTGTTGGCGTTGTTGGCGTTGTTGGTGTTGTTGTGTTGGTGTTGTTGTTGTTGTTGTTGCTGTTGTTGTTGTTGTCGTTGTTGTCGTTGTTGTCGTCGTCGTCATCGTCGTCGTTCCCACCCTTTCATGGTTGTTAGCCTAGAGAGAGGGGCCTCGATTGTTTTCCTGGATGCTTTTCGGGTAGTTCATGTTGCACCATTTCACCATCTATGTAAGCGCAATCCAAGAGGGACCTGACCCTGGTGCTACTGCAACTTGGACGTGTCATGTAGTACCAATTATAGTTGAGGTTCAGCTACTTGACAACTTTCAGTGAGAAAATTCCAAGGGAAAACGTGGGCTGTTGGGGGTATAGCCTCACTTCTAGACCGGCCTTTGGGCTTTGTGGTTGGTGCATGTTGTTGCAGACTCGGAGCCATGGATGTGTCCTGTGTTCCCTTCGTCCCACTGCTTTGCAGTACCGGCGTCACCTCCGGCACAGTGCGCGGTGGAGTGCCACATGCCTGGAAAACTGTTTGCTTGTTTGGCCACTGTTGCGGTAAACCCCAAGCAGTGGGGTACATCCAGTTCTGAAGGCATGGTGTAGAGACGATGCCCCAGTGATGGCCATGTAGTCGCGAAAATTCCATGGACTATTGATGGGGATCATTGGATCATGGTCAAAGTGTGGGTTTCAAGTGTTGATGATTTTATCCCAACAGTTTGGATGGGGTGGACATGGAGGCAGCCAGTGGGAAACCACTGTCGCCACTGAGGTCTGGTGGAGTATCTGTCGGCCCATTAGGCCAGGGTGTGAATTTCTGAGGATTTGGAGCAATTTCGATACAACTGCTAATATGATTGGAATCCGTCCAAGCTGTGGTGATTCTTAGACCCAATTGAGTCGGAGTTGATGGTTTGTTTGGGGCCTGGGATGGCTACCCTTTTCGAGTCATTGAGGCCAGGTCGCTTTGCAATTGTAGTTGAATGTCTCAGCCCTTACTGTGAGGTGGGCAGCCATTTGTGCTGCATTCATTGCGACTGGACCCTATCAACCTATTTGCGCAGCATGTGCAGCAGACACAACTATTCCAAAACAGCTTTGGTATTCGCACCAATTCAATGACTGCAAAACTTTCGAAACCTGTCAAACGGCTAAAGCTAAAGCATGCTGTTTTCGGGTGTCTCCGTTGTTCTTCTTTCCCATGCTGCGACTGGTTGCATGGCGGGGCTACCATTGCCATGAGCGACAAGTTATGCCGCATTCGCTGGGGACAGGCCTGGGATACGAAACGTGCAAACCATACTGAACCATCCTGAATCTGTTTCTCTACAAGTAGTGCAAGACCCATATATATATATATATACAGTAGTTGTTGTTGCCGCTGTTGCGCATTTGCTGCCCTACTGCTATAGTAAGGAGGGCCATGGAATGTGACTGGGGTGCCCAGGTGCGAAGAGGACTTGCCCTCTGCCTGCTGGGAGTCTGGCAGCGTCCTGGCAGCGTATGGCAGCCTTTCAGAGATTTTGTAAATTTTGGAATGGTGGAATGGTGATGATAAGAAGGATCTTACCGAGGATGGGTCTCTTGGGGACCTATAGGTAGATTTCAACTGCGAATCGCAGCACTGAACTGGAGTGCTGATTGTTCTACTGTACTCAAAGAGTCTAAGAGTCTAAGATGATCCTTTCTTAAAGTAAACCATGAGGCGTGGCTCGAACTTGCGGGCCACAAGCGAACTACTAAACAGTCGCAGTTTTGGGGTTCCTATCCAACTTTTGAGGTCCGCGATTGGAAGCGACACCCATCTTTAGCCTTTGGTCGTTATGTAAAAAAAGTGTCTGTGGTGAGCGAGCAGACACATGATATTTGTTGACAAATCGTAAAATATCTGAACTTCTACATTCACCGTCACCCAATAGTATATTTTGGGGTCAACCATTTAAGTGATGGTAGTACCAATCATCCATTTTTAATTGTTTTTTCCATTGTAAACCATCCATTTTGGAGCACCCCAATTTATGGAAACCCCCAAATGGTTCAGGTCTGGATTCAACTTCATCGACCCTGGCCATGTGCCTTCAGCCCGTGTGGCTGGCCAAACGGCCTTGGGTGCCGAGCGGGCGAAGAACGTGCCACATGACATGAATGCGGATCAAACATTTAGAAAATCGGAGGCCAGGGGGCTTTTGATGTCTTTTGATTCTTGGAATATTGGTCCTTTTTTTACGCGTTTTATATCGTTTTTCTTTGTATATCCAATAACTTCAAGGACTCAGGCCCCGCAAGTGTGTGGTTTGCCACTTCCCAACCTGTGCTGTCGTAAAAAAGTGAGCATATAAATCATGTAGTTGCACAATGCTGCATGCTGGTGGTGGCTTTGTTTCGGTCCTAGGCCGCGCTGGCTCTCAGAGCTACAAGATGAGGGACTCATCGAAGAGCCAGATGCCAACATGTCGCATGGCATTGGTTAGATCTCCAGGCATGTGCTGGTGAAATGTCTATACCAAGCATGATGAGGAAAGCTGGATCGTAAACATGCTTGAGTCCCAATAATTCTGAGAGGATCGTGAAAGATGATCAGTTTTTCATGACGACCCCGTTAACGAAATTAATCCAGGTGGACCGTTGGTTATCCAATTAATTTTGTTCAATTAATTTTGATTTGGGTGGTTTTTTTCGAGAACTCTATTGTTCGAGGATTAATTTAAGTTGGGGGTACCCAAATTAATTTAGTTTGAATGCTTGAGAATGAGAGTGGGGCCACCTCGAATTAATTTGGCAATGTTTCCTCAAACAGCTCATGCCAGCTCAATCAAACTTGGATTATTAATGACACTAAATCTACCTGGGTGGCATTTACAAGTAAGAAAATGCGTTTGGAAAAGAATCTTATTGATCGTTTTGCAAATGATTTGAACAGCTTTTCAAAACCATCGCGAACAAAGAAACATGCAATTTATTTCTCATATCACCAACCATTGTTTTCCTTCCTCCCAGCTTGCGTGGACACGCGTAAAATCAATTTGGGTGGGTGTGTACTAGTACAGGACTCAATCAATTTGGGTGGGTGTGTACTAGTACAGGACTCAATAATTGTAATGACACTAAATCTAACTGGGTGGCATTTACAAGTAAAAAGATGCGTTTGGAACAGAATCTTATTGATTGCGTGCAATGAGAATTGAAAACCCATTTGAAAACACCCTCACGGACAAATACACACCCAGTCTATTTTTTTTGCGTCAACAAAGTTTTTCCTTTTTCCCAGCTCGCGTGGCCACGGGTAAAATTAATTTGGGGGTGGGTGTACTAGTACAGGACCCAATGATTGTAATGACACTAAATCTAACTGGGTGGCATTTACAAGTAAGAAGATTTGGAACAGGGAACAGAATCTTGGTGATTGTGCGTGATGAGAATTGAAAACCAGTTTAAAAAAACGCACGAACAAATACACACCCAATCTATTTCTTTTTGCGCCAACAAAGTTTTTCCTTTTTCCCAGCTCGCGTGGCCACGTGTAAAATTAATTTGGGGGTCGGTGTACTAGTACAGGACCCAATGATTGTAATAACACTAAATCTAACTGGGTGGCATTTACAAGTATATAAGAAGATGCGTTTGGAACAGAATCTTGGTGATTGTGTGCAATGAGAATTGAACACCCATTTGAAAACATCACGAACCAATACACACATCCAATCTATTTCTTTTTGCGTCAACAAAGTTTTTCCTTTTTCCCAGCTCGCGTGGCCACGCGTAAAAATAATTTGGGGTTGGGTGTACTGGTTTGGGACCCCATGGTTTGAATACGATGAGACATGCGTATGGGCTTGGCTGGCCTCATTGGAGGCCATATGGTCCTGAAACTTTGGATGCCTTCCCCCTACGAAGAATTTAGCTAACCACACCCCAATTAATTAGAAGAACTTGTTTGGGGTCCCCTGAACCCAAGAAGAAATGGTAGTTCCACCACTCTTGAATAATTTTACCTGAAATTAATTTAGGTGGTGGGTAGAGAACCATTTATTACATCTAGGTGGGGGGGAAGTGCCGCCGAGCAAATTAATAGAGGTACCTTGAAGAAGTAGGGACCCTTGGATTAGTTTTTTTTAATTAATCGAGGTGGGGGACCACTCTGGGGGACCCTTTAGGGGGTGGTCATAGTTTTTCTTTATGTCTCAGTGGTCTCCACGCTTTGGAGTGTTCTCTTCCAAACAGTTTTGACATCTCCGATGATCCTTTCATTCCATAGGGGTGGATCTAGGTAGTCACAAAAAGTCTTCTGTTTGGCACAGGCGTATGTTTGCTCCATCCTGCCTTCTGGGCCTGTACAGTGTTTGGTCCATTTCTGTCGACGCCGAGTCTGGCTGGGCACCCATCCATGAGTTTGGTGTGTGTCGGGGCACGATAGGTTTTTGTCGTGCAACTAAAGATTAACATTTTGTCGTGGTTCAGGCGGCGTCTCTAAGGAATCCCTGATGACGGTGGGGTGACCACTGTTATAATTACGTATATATAATTGGGTATATATATATATATTATATACATAGAATTTTCCCAGATCTTCTCGAATCTTCGTAGAACCTTTCCAGAATCTTTCTAGACTATTTTGCCTATTTTGTTCGGTTTACTGTATCTATCCCATCTGTCCTGTCCTGTCTATCTCAACTATCGTTTGTATCTTATAATGTATATACTACACCTATTCATCCATCCTATCTATCCCAATTGTCCGGATCGTTCAAGTCTGTCCTGTCAATGTCTATCTCTATCTTATCTATTTTATCTATACTTACTATCTATCTTGTATCTATCGTACGTATCTATGAACGAAAGGTAGCGTCAGCTACCTGAGTTGAGGTGGCCGCCTGTGGGCATGAAATAGAATGTGTTGAAGCTTGGATCGAAGAGTCCCATTGACCCGCATTCTCAGCATCATCATCGCCCTCGTCATCCTAATCATCATCGTTCCTTTCTACCCCCGTTTCATCCTCAGCGTCGTCATCAACATACTCCCCTGTACACATTCGATTTGAATTATACAATTTTTTCTCCTTTCTTTAGGTACCAGAAAGGCTACTCATCACGTCGCCGGGGGCAATCATACAATCATACAATCATACAATCACACACACACACACGCACCGTATGAATAAACAGATGATTTTATAAATCAAATGATAATAAATGCATAAATATATGTATGTATATATAGAGATATAACACAATCATGCAACCAAATGTCATTTTGCCATACCCAAACCTATTGCAACGCTAGCTGTTTTGACTTACGACTCTTGCCGCAGAATTCTACCTGTTATCCCTATTTCATAACTGAGGCGATGCCTTGTTCCAGACGACTACAAATAGACCATGTAATTTAAGAATTCTTCATGTCGTGGAGCCCCATTCCTGTTGTTACCCCTTTCTACCTTTCGTCTACCAGTTCTCAAGGTTTTTCTCTTCTCTTCTCCCTATCATTTGAAATCTAAATCCAGACATGCGGTCATTTGCCACATAGACTAGATAAGGATACACTCTAAATCATTACAATACATGTGCATATAATGTACATAATGTATACAGTGCAATGATGCAGAATGTTATAGTTACAACGTATCTATTAGTATCTATGTATTTATCTATTTATGTGCGAACTTGAGGTGTGTAGTGCTCGCCTGTGATGCGGCGAAGCGCAACGATTGGAGCGCAGGAGAGCAATGGCTCCGCCGCGCGTGGGGCAATTCCTCGACACCGGACGCGTCTTCGGCCACTGGGCATGGTGCTGGGGATGAAGGCTGGAAGGATCTGGAAGGATCTGGAAGGATCTGGAAGGATCTGGAAGGGCGGACGACGGCGGATGGCTTTCTCAGAAATGATCAGTGAAACATGACCGTAAGACTTCCGTAAGACTCAAGACCCATCTTGCATGAGGTTGAGCTAAGTTGTCTTGCCAAGCGGCAGGAACCCCAAGGACGATGTTTGTTCAGATGAACGGCTGGCTTGGATGTGGATGTTGATCCGTGGCATGGTTCTTTCAGACCAAGGTGAAGATGCTGTGGGAAGTGGTGGGACAATGTGCCTCAGCGAATGGGAAAAGATCAACTTGATGTTCTTTGTTTGTATGGCTGCCAGTTTTTTGATGTCCCATGGAGCATTTGCAAACACACGATCAATCAGAACAGCAGCCAACATGACTTAAATCACAGCTTTCAACTTTAAGCAAATGTGCAGGAACACACAGGAGAAAGATGGAGAAAGTAGTTCCCCCCCAAAAAGGAAGCTGCTATGAGGTGAGAATGGCAAGAATGTTCGAAAAGTGAGGTGAAACAGTGAAACATTGAAACATATTCAAAATGACCGGGAAACACCTGGATTTCATGAACGTTGCGGTGCCACTGAGACGTCCCTCTTTCTGTAGCTGAGCGCTGGCTGTCCCTTACTGCCGTGGCGCCGCAAATGCCCTATGTGGCGACGGCCTTGTTGCGTGCTGCTTCCAGGGGATGTGACCTGGACACAGCGGAGAAGTGGTTCCAGGTGGGCCTTCCCAGACGGTTCGATGTTTGAAATCGGTGATGAAACATGGGGTTGAAGTTGGAGAAAGATAAGGGAAACCATGGGAAACCATGGGAAACCGTGGGAAACCGTGGGAAACCGTGGGAAACCGTGGGAAACCGTGGGAAACCGTTGCCAGGCCATGCAGTCCTCAGATCCGGCTCTAGCCGTGGATCAGTCGTTGTGTTTGAGACTGCTCAGCTGTTCATTGCAGAGTGGCCACTTGGTGCACAAATCCTATGCAATAGCGGGGATGCTCAGCTGCTCAACGCGATGATATGAGGCAACACCTCCCTGGCGGAAGAGTGGATCAAGAGAGCGGTGAAGGCTGGATAGCTCAGGATAGCTCAGGATACCTCAGGTGATTCTACTTTGACGCTGCTAGCGCTGGAAATAACCAACCCAATGCATCCATAAGAAGCTGTGCCTGCCTGCCAACTGGAGGCTGGTGCGAAGACATCGGAGATCACCATGCGAATCATGAAGGACCTGGCTAGACCAAACCAGTTGATCTCGTCCGTGGGTCCAGCGCGGTGTCTGTCTGCAGTGCTGCTTTGTTGTCCTAGTAGCATTCAAAAGCTTCCAAGTTGTGCTGCTGCAGGTTTCTTTTGCGAGCTTGTCTTTGCCAGGCAGATATATCACATGTCCGTCCATGAACTTGAATTCTGCAGGCTTTTCACCGACATGAAAGTTGAAGATTCATGCGTGCTTGCAGAAGCGTCCTGGAATGGGCTCAACATTGTTTCTCCACCTCACCCCGCCCCAACCAGGTTATTGCGCGTTTACGTGTGGTAGAAGTTTGCTGCCTGCGTGTTGGCATGTTTGACTTACAAGCTAACTCGAAGTGCCCACCCCTGTGTGATATTAGCGAGTTTCCACATCGAGGTTCCATCTGGACGGAAGAAAGTTGGCCTTTGAAACACCCATCTTGTTGCCAGGTAGGTATTTGTAAACATTCTGAAACCCCAAACCCTCGAACACTTGGCCAAATGCTGCGGAGGATCGAAATTTAGGATGATTTGAAGCTTGCGGTAAAGCATAGGAAACGCAGCGTAAAGCCCGGCACGGTGTGGGCACTTCTCGGCACCTTCGGCCAGGACAGCGCCGCCCGCCGTGCCTTCGAAGCCATGATTCGACAAACGGCCGAAGCCACTGACCTGGCTGCTGCGCGCAGGTGGTACGAAACCTGGCTATGGGATACCCAAAGTTTATGTTTCTAGATGTTTCTAGTATCTGCATTCAATTGCGGCAATTGAAAGATGCTTTAGATGCTGGAGGTTGTGCAGTAATTAGTGATGTAGTGATGCCGCTTCTTGATCTTGTGACCTTCGTGTATGCACTGTTTTGACTGATTCGTAGCAGGTCAATATTTGATACAGTTGCTCTGGACCAAAATTTGTGAAACAGCTTCTGCCTCTTAGATTGTCAAGATTGTCAAGCCTGAGCTGCGTGGTGCAGGATTGATCCGGTAGACTCAGGAACCTCGCCTAATGATCTAATGATTCCTAATGAAATCTGTAAGGATCAGGCTGTGGCAGCTGGGCTGTATCCATCGCCTCGGACGTTTGCAGCTTTGTTGGAAGCTGCCTTAAACGCAGATGATTCGACAGCTGCAGATTACTGGTATCAAGGCCCGTGCGTGCTGTGGGTTGTGATGTGGTCACTTGTTCGATCGGCCGTTCTAGGGGTTGAAAGCCCAGCTGTAAACTGCAAATACTGGCCCTGCCTTCCTCCACACCTAGGTCTTTGTAGCTGGTTTCACAGATTCGAAGCAACCGGATTAACTGCAAAACGCTAGTTTGTTGTGGCGTTTTCCATTTCAGCTGCCCGAGATTCCAGCATGGATATTTACTGATCCTGCGTGGTGCCAGTTTGAATCCGTGACCTGTCACCATGGGTCCTGAACGCTCAGCTATGGTCCTCATCATGCAATCGGTCTGGCAATATTTGGCGTGGTGGTGGTGATGGATGATGGATGATGGATGATGGATGATGGATGATGGATGATGGATGATGGATGATGGACGATGGACGATGGAGGACGATGACGACGACGACGACGACGACGACGATGATGATGATGGTCACATAAAGCATTCAAGGAGAAAATAGAGGGATGAGGGCGACGACTTGGAATATCAGGAATATCAGGGTGGCGATGATGATGTAGTGATTGTGCTCACGCCTCCAGGTTTACAGACAATTCTAGGATATCATAGATTGATGATGCGATTCTGATTCTCATTTTCAGTTGATGCTGACGACAACAGCTTCCACCGAATTAGTGGGCATTTTGCCCTGTGTTTGGGTTCATGTTTGACTTTCCATACAAATTCAGCTTAAAGGGGCTTGATCTGTCACACTGGAAAGTTGACGTGGAAGATCAAAAGTAGGTTTGGAAATGGTTGGACGTTAAAGTTACAGGATTCGTGGCCATTTCCGAAAGATCTCCAGTTCTTCCACTAGTTGCTAGCATCTTCCAGGAGTCGTGGCCACTCCGGGCCAACCTGCTGTTGTGTCCTTCAATTTGCTGCTGGATGTTGCTGCACGAAAAGGCCGAGTCAAACTGCTGAGAATCTCGGGATGCCCTTGGTGGTGATGCCGGGCGGATGCCATCTTTCGGATGAATAATGACCATGATGAAAGCACCTTTGAAGGCGAGTACAGGCGAGTACAAGTCTGCAACTGTTCTGGATGGCACAGCGAAGCCTTCATTTTCGTTCGCCAAGGACAATGGTTTTCCAAAATGCAAGAGCTGGTCATCGAGCCTAACCCTGAGACATTTCGCACATTGATCATGGGCACTGTGAAGAGCGCGGAAGGGGACCTCGAAACAGCGGAGATGCTTGAAGCCAATCAATTCAGAACAGAACAGAACCACACTTGCTCATTACAATCTCATGACAGTAACACCACCGCCTGGATCATGGACGTGGGTTATGTTCTTCACGCTGATTCAACAAAACAGGCTGAGTTTCCATGCAGGGGATCCAGGGTTCCTGCCTCACCCGCAGCTCAGGAGTTGGTACCAACAAGCGCTCGAGGCTGGCTTTCGGCTTAGTGCAGGCTGGGAGTCGCAACTGGTGCAGCAACAGCAGCCTGGGCCTAGCTGGCCAACTAGGCTACGGGCTAGCTAGCTGAATGGCCTACCCGCCCCAACGGCTAAGCCGCCCACTTAGCTGTTGAGTCGGGTTGTAATCCAAGCGATTCCTTAGGCTGTAGGAAAACATGCAATACGATGCAATTCAATTTTTGCCAAAACTAAGCAACCATAGGCCACCTTTAGTTCACCACCGCCTCAAGTTTTCTGCATCTTTCTGCAATATGTTCCCTCTGAAGTGCTTGACTCTTTATATGCACATTCGCGCATCTCGAATTTCCACCAGCCCTGCGCTTTTGCCCAGGGGATTTTGAAGAGATGATCGATGCAGCCTTGGTGCGGAATGATGTTGAATCCGCTGCTTTTTGGTATAAAAAGTCTGCTGACGAGCTCACATTGCCCACTGAAGAACCTTGGCATTTCGAACCAAAGAGCGGTCCATGGTTGTTTTTTGGCACGATGGGGATAGTTTGGAAATTATTTTGCAGCAGTGAGCCCGCAGAACTACGTTGTACATTTGAGTTCACATATGCTTTAATTATTCTTTCGAGGTTTCGCTTTTTTCTCCATTTGGAGCTTCTAAATGGAGGGCCATTTATTTAGGTTTTTTTTTTTTTTTAGGGATTTTTTTTTGGATTTTTTCCTGCTTACTCTATTGCCTCCTGCAGTGCTTCTCTGCTTCTTTGCTTCTATTCCTTTTTTTGTTTTTCTTGCTTTTCTTTGCTTTTTTGCTTTTTTTCTTCCCTTGCTTTTCTTTGCTTTTTTGCTTTTTTGCTTTTCTCGCTTTTCTGCTTTTCTTTGCTTTTTTGCTTTTCTTGCTTTTCTTGCTTTTCTTTGCTTTTTTGCTTTTTTGCTTTCCTTGCTTTTCTTTGCTTTTTTGCTTTTCTCGCTTTTCTGCTTTTCTTTGCTTTTTTGCTTTTCTTGCTTTTCTTTGCTTTTTTGCTTTTTTGCTTTTCTTTGCTTTTTTGCTTTTCCATGAGGTGTGGAGCAACATCTTCTATCCATCTATATCCATCTATATCTATCTATATCTATCGTATCTATATCTATCTATGTCTATCTATATCTGTATCTATATCTACATCTATGGCTGTATCTATATATCTATATACCTATATATATATATCATATATCTATATAATTATCTATATATCTATATATCTATATATATATCTCTATATATATATATATATATATCTATATATCTATATATATCTCTATATATCTCTATATATATCTATATATTTCTATATATCTCTATATATATCTATATCTAGATATCTATATACATATATATCTATCTATCTATATATCTATCTACCTATCTATCTATCTATCTATCTAATTATCTATCTATCTATCTATCTATCTATCTATCTATCTATCTATATATCTATCTATATATCTATATATCTATATCTCTCTATATATATACTATATATCTATATATATCTATATATATATATCTCTATATATCTATATCTCTCTCTCTATATATATATATTTATATATACCACCATATATCTATATATCTGTATATATCTATCTATATTTCTATATGTATATATACATATATCTTTATATCTATATATCTTTAAATATATATATCTATTTATCTATATATCTATATCTATATATATATATATCTGTATATATATATATATCTACCTAAAAGGTTTGCATTATCATGCGGATGATATTCAAACCCCAAGCCAACCCTGAACCACACCTTATATAAATAGATCTTAAACCAACTCGATGATAACATCAAATGAAACTATTGTGCATCGTTGTGCCTTAACCTACATTCCACATGTTTCCAAGGTGCATGTCGTGTAGTATATACACCTTGAGTATCACATTCAACCTAGCACCTTGCATGTGAAAATAGGTGTTTCCAATCTGCTTTGGGGGGGAGGCGCTGCGCCGTCCCCCCCAATCCCCCCCTCCCGCTTTTTTTTATTTAAATTCAAGCTTGCACACATTTCAATACACTACTTTGGTTAGAATATATATATATACATTGTATATATATATTGTATATATATATATTGTATATATATATTGTATATATATATATTGTATATATATATATATATATGTATATATATATATATATATATATATATATATATTGTATATATATATATATTGTATATATATATATGTATATATATATATTGTATATATATATATATTGTATATATATATATGTATATATATAACAACACTAACAACACTAACAACACTAACAACAACAACAACACTAACAACACTAACGGTAACAACAACAACAACACCAACAACAACACCAACACCAACAACAGTAACAGTAACAACAAACAACTGTTGGAATGTCAGCCTTCAGCTCCAAAATCCTGCAAGTACTGTGAGGAATGTAGCTGTAAAATGTTGCACATACGGTGGAAATGCAGATTCCAGCTCAAAAATGCTGCAAAGAGCATGGAAAATGGACAGAACATGCTGCAAACTGTTGCAAATACCGTGGAAAATACAATGGAAAATGAGAGGTTCGAACTCAAAACCGTTGCACATACCGTGGAAATGGCAGTTTCCAGCTCCAAAATGCTGCAAATAGCATGGAAAATGGTGAGAACCGGAAATCCAAAAAAAATTCCCCAAACTAAAAAAAAAAAATCCCCAAACAATTTCCTACCCCTTCTAAATTGTAAATGTGCGAATCTTCCCATTGGCTCCACTTCATACTGTAGGATTGACAAAACAGTTTGTGGATCAGGGTGCACGTATGCACAGTCGCTGCCGCATTTGTCACCCATTGCCAGTTTTTCACTGTGACATGGCAACAAGCCTGGCCGAGCGAAAATCGGCTTCAAGAATTCATATTTCATGTTGATTGCGCCAGATTTTCCCATCCGTTTTGAACACGGGCAAGAGGCTTTTTTTTTGTGCTTCTTCTGTTTGTTTTGGAATCGAAGCAAAACAGGTCTTTAACCAACTCTTGTCGAGAGCTGCCCAACTGGAAGGCTCCAATCTGAGGGCATGGGGGTCTTCAGAGAACGTAAATTTAAATACCCTTACTTGCTGTATCGCAATTGCGGAAGCTTATGCCAACAAGGGTTACCGTCTTTCCGAGACTCTCATATGTATCTCCTTGCCGATGTGTGTAGAAGCTTGCTTAAAGATACCATAGACTGCCTTGAATACATCATCATACTTGATGACCACAGCGCGACCATTTTTTATGGAGCATCGTATGCGTTCAACATGCACTCTCAAAATGCGCAGGATTTTCCATGGCAGCGTCGCTCTTCGCTGAGTTTGGTGTTGGCATCACACCGAATGTCGAGACATTCAACACCATGCCACTTGGTGAGAGTCTGGCTGAGTCCACTGCAGATGTTTGTGGCTTAAATAGCTTAAGTCTGAACACACCCATGAAATCCCATGAAGATTTCTCATTTCTCCAGCTGTGTGTGGATGACGTCTTTCGGCACAGCTGGCTGCAGCCGCTTTGGATGCTTCTGCTGCTGAAGGATGCTGCTTGGGTGATGTGTCTGTATATATATATATATGATATGTATATGTTATATATGTATTACAACATGCGTTCAATGCGTTTGTATAAGGTGGTGCTGCTGCAAGGTGGCTGGCCTCCAAAGCACAAATGCATCGTAACTGTGATTTGCTGTTACCGCCAGGCAGGTAGAGCTTTGAGTGGTGATGCATATCCCATCCTGTTGCTTGAAAGGATGCTTGCGGCTGCCAGAAACGGTGACACGGCTGCGGCGGAGATTTGGTACACAAGGGCGCAAGGTGCCGAGGTTCTTCCCCGATTCCCTTTCAGAATGACACCACTTCTCCAAAGATCGACCTATTCTGGCACAAACACGGACCATCTGTGTTTGGGTTTTGAATCTATTCAAGGCACAGATATCTGATTCGCGCGCAGCCACCATGCATCTGCAAGAGGTGCCGGTTGCAAGCCGGATGAGCTGACGTACCAGGCTCTCATCAACGCAGCTTCGAAGCTTCTTGGATGTGAGAAGGATTCCAACTGACACCCTGCAGCAATCCAACATCTTATGCTGGAAAGCCTTTCAGTGCGGATGATTTTGCAGGCTGCCAGCCTTTGATGCCTGGAGCAGATCTTGTCTTTGCACTGGCGTTGTGCTGAGGAGGGGAGACCTGGCGGCGGCTGAAGCTTGGCTGAGGTGCGACAAGCGTCGCCTCACTTCGAGTGCCATTTTGTCCTCTGGCCGCTCCATGTCAGGCAAGCAGAAGAGGTTGGCATCAAGCCAACTCTGAAGATGCTGAAGCTCGGTTTCATGTATTCGAAGATCGCGCAAGATCTTTTTTTTCCGGGGAATATGTGGGTATTTTTCAGCTGCACCACACTCTCCGTCAGGGCGGTGCAAGCCAGCCTGGATCTGACATCCTTGAGGAACGAAAAGATTTTGACCAAAACTGGCTCGTCAGCCGTCCTCGCAGTCATAGAAACAATGCAGCTCGGTTCTGAACATGAATGCCCTATAAAAAGATCAATTCCCTCAAGACAGCGCAGCGAATTTACGAAGAGGGGAGGAGGAGGAGCAGGAAAGGAACGGAATATCAGAAAACGAAGAAAACCTGTAGGAAACAGGAACAATCTTTCAAATTCACAAGGTAACAACCAGCTATTTGGTTTGGAGGCAGTCCCTCAAGAATCTGCGCAATACTGACTCGTATAAACAAGCAAGACATTCCGACTCCTTGACGCAAGTGCCATCAAAAGTACTGGTTTTAGTTTGTTTCAGGAAGGATCTTAAGAAGCGAATCAAGTCTAAGCGAGGGACCCTTCCTCCGTAAGTGCCTGAGATCGCCCATCTAGCGAAATCTTGAATCTGCAAAGCCATGAATGAACCTGGTTTGGAAATGGGCTTAACGCTTTGGTTGGCGTCTCCTGTCAGCTGGAGTCAGCTTGACGCTTAGGAGAGCGTCATCACAGAACTTCTACATGCGGACTGAGTGATGCTACTGACACTACCAAATTTTGCCAGAATGTCGGCATATGTCAGCCACAACTTGGGCTTCACTAAGGAATTCTCTGATGGCAGCAGCCTCCAGGGATGGCGACTTTCAACTTGCCAGTGGTTTCTCAACTGAGAAAGTCATGGAAAGTCAACCCTTTTTTTTGAACTCAGGGATGGTAGTTGACCATATTAGCTGGCTATGTCCTAGGCCCACCAGGCCTCAAAGTTGTCACACCCCGTCACTATCCATCATGCTGACTTGAGTAGTTTGGGTTGCACCGTGTTTTGTTGCAGGGAGGCTGGCCCATTCAACCAGTGTCGGCTGCGCAAGGATGGTTCCACCGGATGGAGGGCTTTAATCTTCAACCAGATGATCTGAACTCAGTTTCTCCCGGGGATAGCTGTCATTGCTGTGGCTTGTGTGGAGCCACGATTTTGTGGCACAGTTCCCAGGTGGTGTCCTACACCACTATCATCAGCGCAGCCGCCAAGTCGGGGAATCTCGCAGTGGCAGAGCAATGGTTCCAGGCTGGGCGCAAGCATTGCCCAGCACTGATTTCAGATTCGAAAGAGCCCTTGAATTGGAGCAGGTCTGCTGAAACCCATAGCAATTGACTCCACAGACTTGTCTCAGGCTGCAGTAGCACAAGGAATCGCTCCCAACGTAGTCACGACGCGCAGCTGCAGTTTTGGGTTTCGTGCATCCTGTTGCTGCCTGACCCATGCGGAAAACCCCGCTAATTTTCAGTACGGGAGAGGCAATAGGTACTGCGCGCAAGCCAAACCCTGTTATGCGGAAGCCCGCATAAGCATCAGCATAAGCTTCTTCCGCGCGTAAGCCAAGACGGTTGGCCGTAAGCAAAGTGTAAGCTGTGGCATAAGCATCCCCTTAGCGGCTTCAGCAAGGCAAGACCTTTTGATCGCCTCTCAGGTTGCAAGGTGTTCTCTCTCATATTCTGGTTGGATCGGTGTTTACTGCTCAAACCATAGGGAATAATAGGGCCAGAAGCGAACCGTGCTTCCTCTTGCAGGCGCTGGCCTATTTTGGCTGGATCACTTGTGGCTATATTCTTGCTTGCTTGTGGCTGGCCATAGTATTGCGGAAGTGATTTAATTGTGTTGATTCGCAAGTGATCCTATGCTTTCGTGGGGTAGGTGCAGTATTATTTGTACTTGCTTGTACGTGGGCACATGTGCGTACAAGATCCTACAAGATGGTTCGATCGTCATATGTGCAAGTGATCAGAAAGGGACTTGCTTGAGGCAGACCTGTTTCCGCAGAGCCAGAGTGATGTTCTGCACGTGTTTACAGGTCAAGTGGGTTTGTGGACCGCCACGGAATGGTAGATTGAGCGTTTCATGGGTTTCCCAGCACTCGTAGCTCGAAAATAGGTTAATTTATGTTTATGTGGTGATTTGCTCGAGGGGTTTCATCAGCACAGCACCTCGAGAACCGCCCTCCCCGACTTTTGTAATGTCCAGACATACCTTCATCAAAAACAAGACCATGGTTTTTGGGGAACATGAGGATTTTTAGATATCAATGCCACCGACATGAGGTTCACATCCCTCATTGATGCAGCGGTGCGGAGCGAAAATGACGAAGCCGCGCGGCATTGGCCCCTTCGCTGATGGCCATGAAGGGACTGCGGGTAAGTTTGCACAGCCTTCGTTTCAAGTTTGTGGGCATCATGCCTTGAAGGGCAGTGGTTTTCTCATGTTTTCTCACTAGCCCACTAGCCCAAGGTATGAGACAGCGCTGAAAGCTGGTGTCCAGCCCACCATCCGTAGCTGGGCATTGCAGCGTTGCTTTCCGGGATGGCTCAAACAATGAAAGCAAATTGTAAACCCACGGTATCTATATCTATCTCTATATATATAATATATATATAATATATAATATAATCGTTTATGAAAGCTATTGCAAGCCTAGGCACCTTCAACACCCTGATGAGCGGTCCTGCCAGGCAGGGAACATTTTCGGAGAAAGTGTGTGGGTGTTGCAATAGGAAATTTCTCCATAGGCTGGGAGGTGTTCCACGGTTTGGCCCGAAAAAGTATTGGCAGCCCACCAAGCAAACATGGACTGCCCAGAAAGTGGGAGCTGAAGTCGGCTGAGTTTGGTATCGCAAGTGAGGCAAGGGGATGTGCCATCTGCAGAGAAGTGGTTTCGTGCTGCCCGCGGCTGGGCAGCAGTATTCACAAGATTTGTGCCCTTCAGCACCTACTGTACGTGTTTTGGGTTTGCAGCAGCCGGATGGTGTTTTGGAGATGGTGAATTGTCGTTCTGAAAGCTGGGCTGAAGGGGGTGCGACCGATTTTGGCAGGTTTCATGGGAGCGATCCCAGACCGGGTGACCTACAACACGCTGCCTGGCACAGCCTCCTTAGCTGGCTTCTAGTATTATACTTTTATCACCTTTATCGCATTTTTTCAATCAGATTTGGTTGTTGGCATGCTGCTGCGGCCCAAGCTTCAGGCTGATGAACGCTGCGGCTCGCGCGGGTGATTTGGCATCAGCAGAGAGTTGGTATGAGAAAGCATCCTGGCAGCGGACAGAAGTAGCCCTTCTAACCGTGCTTCGAAGTAGGAACACGTTACCGTTACAAGTTCAGTAGTAGAGCCGAAAAGGGGGGAGTGGAAGTTTCCAATAGGAACATGTGTTCCTATAGGAATAATTAGGAATGCCAGGAAGACTTTGCCTGCAGGCCTGCAGGAGTTGAGTTGATGTTCAAAGCAAACATACAGCCTGCTGTTGGGGTTGTAGTTCACCTGGGTTGACCAACACCGTTGCTGGGTCAGACTTTCTCGGAGCCCACATTCCTTCCAGTCCACCTTTCGAAACGTTTGCGGTCAGATGCGTTATAGTATTAACTGCGATCTTTTCTCTCATGTGCCCTGTTTAACGTCCTCTCTACATTTTTTGCCTTTTTCCGCTTTTCTTGAGTCTATTTTTTTGAACTTTCCATTGCTCCGCTTTTTCCTACTTGTTCGTTCATTTTCTCCATTCAAACATTGCGTAAAACGAACACGCGAAATACATCATCGCCACTCTTGCGCAGACACTCGATTGCGATCTTCAGAGGAAAGTTGCAAAATACAAAAAAGCATGAAGAACTACACGCACAGCCGCAGCATCCAACATAGATATCAAGAGCTGCAGAACACCATCACGCGCGTAACTAAATTCGGCAAATTGACGCCTGTATTCTTCTTTGCCCTTCTCCTCCTCTCCCCGCTCTCCTCTGCCCTCGTCTCTTCTCTTCCCGTCTCTTTTCTACCCTACTGCACTGAAACCTGGCTCTGCTCTTCTCTGCCCTTCTCTTCTCTACACTTCTCCTCCCTGCTTGTCTCCGTCCGCTATTCTCTTCTGTTCCCTCTTCGCTGTTTTCCTCTACTCTTATTTTCCTGTGATTCCAGGTTATCCGGTAACTCGAGGTGTCTCGACGAAACTGCCTTTGAACAATCAGAATGGTTGTTGTGAATCTATCTTCTCGCCTTTCCTTTTCATTAGTGAGTTTCATGCTGCGACGATCCAAGTTTACCTATGTTTATGTTAAGAACTATAACTATTCAATCTATTAATATAGCACACACACACACACCGGGATATATAGCTGGTCATGTTTTTCGGGATCGCTGATTCCACCGGTTCAACCACCTACCAGTCCTACCAGTCCCAGATCGTCGATCAGCCGAGGCCTTGGGTGCTCGTGTCGACCCCAACGTGGTGACCTTCACCACCCTGATCTCCGCTGCGGCCAACCAGGGACGCCAGGGACGCTTAGAGGAGGCGGAAGTTGCTTGGCGGATCTGAAGAGCACCACCAACCAGCAAGAATAAGAACCAGAATTAAGAATAAGAACAAGGACAGCAACCAGAACCAGAACCATAATCACAACCAATTAAAATGTATTTCTGGTGCCCATGTTCTGCGCGAACAAATCCTGGCCTCAAGATAAAACGAACCAAACACCTGGACATACCTGGACTATCATTTGCTGTTGGGCCCACTTGGGTTGCATAGGCTTGGATGTGTAGAACCGTTTTGAAGCGCACCAATTTCCGGAGTTCTTTACCAGGTGCGCCGATTTCAGCGCGATGACCACCCCCAAGCCTTAAGCGGCGGCTCAGGCATGGTTTTGCAAAGCCACGCAGAAGCGCGGACCTGGCATTCGACCTAATGTGGCAACTCGGACCCATAAGCACAGGATGCACGGGCTTCAAGCACGTGTTTTCGTTCTGAAAGAGGATTAAGGCATGTTGCACCATTGGAGGCTCAATGTGAAGTGCCAGGAAAATTCCACGAGCATCCTTGGTGGGAGCAGAACTTGCCGTCCAGAGTTATTTTGGCGGACTTTTCAAGTTGTTACCACGATAGTGTTTCAGTATATGTGCTCTGGTGAAAACATGGTATACGTGATACGGTCATCCATCCTGCAACGGGAATCCTTGCAATGGGTGAGTAAATTCTACTAGTGGACTGATGACCATGCCCCCATATGGACAATTTACCTCAATTTACCAATTTTGTGACCATAGCACAGCCACATATCGTCGCCCTGAACTTGGAGGTTTGCTGGTGCCTAGGCCATGTACAATGCGCTCCTAAGTGTGGCAGCCAAGAGCACGGGCGATGCAGCAGAGAAATGGCTTCGACATATGGAGCGCTGACCGGGTGTCACCCAGCGGACCCACTCATTTTCTGTTTGAACATCTCTATCCACTGCAAGGTCGTGGAAGTTGCATGTCCAGTGATACATAGTGAGATTGAAGACAAGGCACTTTCGCAAACTCGAGGACTGTAAACCAAAAAACAACAGAAATTCAACACTTGTCTTTGTCTTGATGTGGTTGCAACCGCTGAGATATCTGACTGCACAAACGCGACGCCTCCTTATCGTGGCTCCAGGTCCAAGCCGTATATTATGAACCCAGCGCGGCATTCATGATGCAAGCAGCATTGGCAGTCTTCCTGCTCTTGCTCGCCCAGGCTTCTCAGCCTGTCGTCGAAGTTGCCGCTGGTGGTAGCACGGACCTTTCGTGCACGGCTTTTCCTTCCTGTGAATGTCATCATGATAGTGCAACTTTGTTGCAGTCTCGGTCTCATCAAGCTTTGGCGGTCGATTTTGGACCTACCTGTCTCCAAGCCAATTTGAACAATGGCACCTGTGTAGGCGACAACAAGTGCTTCAAGTGCAACCTGGAGGGTGCACAGGCTCTCTTGCCCTCCGATGAAAATAGATTCCCCGAGTCGCGGCTGCTTTGTGATGGCGACAGCTCAAGCACGTGCTCACTGAACACCACCAGCCTTCCAATCCGATTCGTGGAAGCTTCACAAGTCATGGTGTGCAAAGGAACCGGCACCTGTCGAGATGAGTGGAAGGTTGAGAATGTGGGAGCAGTTTGCTGTTCATCTCCTTCAAATGTGGGGCAGACTTGCTACTTTTCATCATTCGCCTTGCAGAACAATACACTTTGCCAAAGTGATATGTGCTGCGATGGTGTGCAAGTGTGCTCAAATTCAACGATGAACGGCGTTGAAAGTCTTCTTTGCAAAGGATACCTTGCCTGCTCCGATTCAACCGTTGGATTGGAGCGGGACTTGTATTGCAATGAAACTTCAGATGTGAATCTGGCACCATCACTCTCAGGAGGAACCTGCTCAAGAAGCTGGTTCGATTTCACGAATGGTGAGAGCAACCAGCATGTGGTTGATTGCCTAGGGAATGGGGTCTGTGACGGATCCTTCTTCACCTTCGACACGAATGCTTCCGTTTCGATGGAATGTGACTCCAATGCTACCGGCACTGGTGGAGGTATGGGTGGCGCATGCCAAAATGCTACCATTACCTTGGCAGCTGATGTCTGCTTGGATCTCAATTGCACGCAGGATGTGGATTGCTTGAACATGGTGGTCAACCTGAATGGTGGAAAGTGCTTCTTCAACAACTTAGGGCAGCAGACTCGTCCCAACTTTGTTGCTGTGTGCACTGCGACGAATGGGACCGAATGTGGACCCATTCAGCGGGAGCCAATCTGCTGCAAGGATGAACCTGACTGCGGATCCTGCTGTGCCGAGCCCAGTACAACCACCATCACAACAGAAAGTCCCTTTCAGCCCAGCAGCAGCACCACTACATCCAGCACTACATCCGATATCTGCTGCGATGGTGTGCAAGTGTGCTCAAATTCAACGATAAACACCGTTGAAAGTCTTCTTTGCAAAGGATTCCTTTCCTGCTCCGATTCAACCTTTGGATTGGGGCAGGACTTGTATTGCAGTGAAACTTCAGATGTGGCACCATCACTCTCAGGAGGAACCTGCTCAAGAAGCTGGTTCGATTTCACGAATGGTGAGAGCAACCAGCATGTGGTTGATTGCCTAGGGAATGGGGTCTGTGACAGATCCTTCTTCACCTTCGACACGAATGCTTCCATTTCGATGGAATGTGACTCCAATGGTGGAGGTATGGGTGGCGCATGCCAAAATGCTACCATTACCTTGGCAGCTGATGTCTGCTTGGATCTCAATTGCACGCAGGATGTGGATTGCTTGAACATGGTGGTCAACCTGAATGGTGGAAAGTGCTTCTTCAACAACTTTGGGCAGCAGACTCGTCCCAACTTTGTTGCTGTGTGCACTGCGACGAATGGGACCGAATGTGGACCCATTCAGCGGGAGCCAATCATCTGCACCAGCACTACATCCAGCACTACATCCAGCACTACATCCACAACCAAGCCGTACCCTCGCAACCGCCGCAACCGCAGAAACAGACGTGAGCACCGCCGCAACAGACGGCAGAACCGCAGGAACCGTCGGCAGCATGCCAGGCAGTACCGTTATAGCATGTGATACCAGTGACGAGACCAATAGACCGTTGAAAACGACCTTGTGGCATGTCACAGGAGAAATGGCAAGCACCTAGCATCACAATTTTGGACGAAGATCCGAGAGTGAGAGCTGGGAAAGTAGTGTTAGGAATTCTAGGCCCTTCTAGGTGTCTAGATAATAATTAGACGGACTCCAGCCGCTAAATCTTCTTCTCCGATGAAACTCCATTTCAGCTTCTCAGCAGCAATTTCCGCCCCCATTGATTGGCAGAAAGTAGCTTTGATGGCTTCAGCTCAATAATTCTTTGGAGATGAAGCTGGACTGGGGATTTTGAATGTTTTGACAAATTTTGACCTTCCGTCGCCAGCGGTGACAAAAAGATGGCGCGGCAGCTTGCACCAGGGTACTGACCTACCTATGCGTTGTGCAGTGTCAAATTTCTACAATCCTGCGGAATGTTGCCACAAGATGCCACAAGATGTTGCCACAAGCACCAGACTCTGGCAGACTCTGGCACCAGCTCCACCAGGAGGAGAATGGCATCCTGGCAGACAAGCGGACCTTCGGCATTTTGATCGATGCCTGCGCCAAGAGAGGCGATCTGGACACCGCGGATTTCTGGTTACAACGCGCGGAACTGGCAGGCCGGCAGGCCAAGTTGGTGAAGCAAAGTGCATCCGAGTTGTCCGAGTGCTGTAACAGTTATGTAACAGTTATGTAACAGTTATGTAACAGTTATGTAACAGTTATGTAACATGTTGGGAATTCAGGGGAATCCGGTTGAAAAAGATGCGTTGCTGATGTTGTGAGGCAAGAAGCACGATGCCATCACCTTCCGAGCATTGCTGAATGCTGCCGCGAAACAAGGTGTGGAACACTGGGACAAGCACTGCCGCAGAAGGGCCAGGTAATCCTAGTACAGTAATGCCTATCATTTTCATGAATAACTTCCCATGTGATGCCTTCGGCTAGGGGGCCCAGGTAGACACACGATTTGGTGGTACCGTTTGTTGCTGGCCTGTGAGACTCTGTGAGGCAATACGACTTTGGCCGAATCCTGGTACTCAAAGGCTTTGGAGCACAAGAGGCAGCCAGACATTGGAACGTCACTAGTTCCGCTAGTTATTGGATGGGACGCGGCAGTGCTTCTATTGGATGAAATGGCTGGGATGCGGATTATGATCTCAGGATATCTCAAGATAGTTTGCTGGGAGGAGATCAAATTTTGTTACCATGCCTGTTTCACTCATGGAAAACTCCAACATGCTGGTGACCCAATTGGCATGGCTATTTCAGAGATAGGAAGGCTTTTGAGCCCTGCAGGTTGCAGATGGCTGCAGATGGTGGGCTCTTTGTGATGATAAAAACAAATGATAGGCATATTTTTCCATGGCAGTAAGACTAAGAATTGTGGCCAATCCAACTGGCAAGTAGGGCCGCCCCACTGGTGAGGCGGTGAGGCTGTTACATAGAACCATATCGTAACTTAAAATGCCCACGGCCGAGGTTCAACAACCTCCTTCAAGCTGCTGTTCGCCGCAGCGGCATCCGGGCCGTTCGGCCCTGGTATGATCGAGCAATAGCAACTGGGACGGCACAAATCCATTGCATCCAGCCCTGCATCAAGCATCAACCGAGTTCGGTCATTGTCACTGGAGCGAAGGGGTGATTGAACTCGATTGCAGTGCTTGCAGAGTGTCGATGTCAAAGGATCAGAGCCAAGTTGCAGAACTAGCTTCACTTTGGTGCGCCAGAGTGGTGATTCCGTAGCAAAGCCCAGGCCTCTCAGGCCTTGCCAGATGAAACCACTTTCAGCATCGCTGTGCATGCTGCTGCGCGAGCCCACAACTTCACTTTGGTGGTGGAGTGGCTACGTGAGGCCTTGATTAGCGTTCATTTGAAATTGAAGGCTTCGAAGCCTTCTTCGTGACTTACCACGTCCGCTACTGCACACAGTGGGCTGGCTACTACTTCTACAGCATGTATTGTGGGAAAAGCGGATCTTTATTTGTCTGAAAATATGGTGGTTTATCATGGTTTATTGGTTTATCATCGGATTACTAGTTTATCATCATTTTTCCTGTTATAATTTGTATAAATGGCCATTGGATGGGCATACACGACTTGAGACTAAAGGATTTATAGGGGTTGATGTTAGGAGTCACTGCTGGAGCCAGGCTTCCCAGCAAGGTGTTGAGGTGGAGCGTATTGCTTCTCGGGTTTTGGCCAAGGAGGCGAGCGACTGAAGACAGGGTGAACAACTATGAGTATGAGTTGGAAAAAGAAGCAGACATACAGGACATACATCAAACATCATCAAAATTTGGAACTATGAGATTTGGTTGGAGTGTGATGACTGCAGCTCAGTGGTCGTTTGATCATATTTTTACCAGGCATATTGCTAGGCATATTGAAGTTCCGCTCTACCAAAATGAGCATGCGCCTCATTTGTTGGCGGTGTTCAACCACGCTGGATTTGTGTTGCCACTCCAAAGCAAAGGTTGGGTCATACCTTGGCGCAGGTGGCTCAGAGAGCGTTCCGTGCCATGATCCAGAAGGAGGGGCCCAGGATCTGCTGTTCAAAAGGGATAGACGGATAGACAATTATTCCGCTGCCATCCTGATACGGTTTCAGTATGTTTCAGTTAAATTCTGCCCATGGTGGACCACTTTTTCCTCTTGAACCGGGGACCTGGGCCATTGGGAATGGTGGCACAGGCTGCCAATGATGGTGATCATGTCGCAGCTCAGCAGTGGGCGGAGACGCTGGCCACAAGCTATTCGACTGATTTTACCGCTTTCCTCAAGAGTTGCAATCTGAAAAAATCTTTGGAACGGCTTAGGCGGGCCATGCAATCTGACACGCAACCGCTGGAAAGCGCGCCGCTGGACGGCGGGCAGTCGCCTGCTGAACCGCAGAAAACAAGGGCGCAGATGAGCCAAGTGTTTGAAGAACAAGGCACAAGGGTTGCAGCTGACCAGCCACGGGTCGGACAGGTGCCGGTGCGACAGCTGATACCCATGGATATCCTGGTGGAGGTGTGGGGTCGGTCGATGCCGGTTACATTTGGTTGCAATTTAGCATGCACCTCTGCCATTGCCAAAGTTTCTGTTTTCCGGGAGTGCGGTGCCTAATTGATTTCTCCATACTTTTCCCGTTTTTTCCAATCTGAGTGGGCCCAGCCTCCTCCAGGGCAATTATATAATCCGATTGACTTAGGAAGGGTCTTGGCGATCTGCTTTGTTCTTACCTTTTTCCTCCTTGCTGCTGCAGTGCTTTTCACAGCTACTGCAACTGATAGTATGTGCTGGATAACTTGGCATGATCTCAACCAACAGCTCTCTTGGTCATTGGGTCCACTTTCAAAGCTTTCCACTGTGAATTTGGGGCATGCCAGGGGCCCTTCCAGAAGCCGCAGGGAACTTGGATCTGCACCAACAGTTCACTTACACTTTTCTCGCAACGACTGGTTTATGCATGTAGTTTTTTAATATAATCACATTGGTGACTCAATTATCGCAACCAATATCCAAATGAATCCAAATGAATCCAAAGAATTTGAAATAACATGTCAAGTTAGTGTTTGACCGGTAACGGGGAGGGAACTTTGGGCCAGTCTTGGGCCATTCTTGGGTCAGTCTTGGTTGTCGCTTACATGGCTGGGTGCCCATGCCTGAGCAGATCGAAAAAGGAACCTCCATTAGATGAGTTTTGGTCACAGTTGAGGTCGGCGAAACGACGCAGCACGAAGCTCAAGCCAGATCTGGGCCCCATGATGAGGCTGCAAGGTATCTTTTTCTCACCGCCGCATTTTTGTGCCCAGTGAAGCCAATAAATTCTGATGGTAAAGAAGCGGCAAGAAGCGGTCCAACAGTCAAGCATCCTGAGCATAGGCCTCAAAGTCGCCTCAAAGAGTATAGACACCAAGATGTATTACTGTAAGGTTTGAGGTTGCTGTGCCCAGATTTATATAAGTTGTCCTTTTCCAAGCAGAACAGCCGAGATATGTTGCGGGCAAAGTGCTGTTGCCACTGTGACACCTGGTTTTCACCGGACATTTGCCAAGGCTGATTCCGGGGCAGGTGCCATCCACTTGTGGTCTCGTGTGATGATGGCAGCCCAATTATTGAAGCAAATAAGCTCAGCAGAGCAACAGATCATCTGGCATCTGGTTTCACTGTTGATTTGCATCATGCTCCGGCACAGTATTCAGCTCGTTGACAAACATATGAAATACATTGGACAGTTGAAAATTTGGGAAAAAGGTATGCCAGCTACACCACCAAAAGGCGAAACATCAACAGCTGGATTATTTCTCTGTTGATCCTGATTTTGGCCCTTCCCATTTCAGTGATACTTGTGGTGACCTTCCTGGCGTTCAACATGCTTGGCACACAACTTGGTGAAAATTGGGAGCATCCGGTGAATCCTTCTCAGGAGGAAGCGGCGGTAACATCCAAGGAGAAAAGCGTGAGGGGAAGCACATCCCCAGGGCGGTTAGAGGAATATCGGCGGATGATGATGATGATGATGATGATGATGATGATGATGAACATGAACATGAAGATAACAATCATGAAGATAAAAGTCATGAACATAAAACTCATGAAGATAAGAAACATGAAGATAAACATCATGAAGATAAAAATCATGAAGAACAAAACATGAAGATTAATAACAGTGATCCACCTTTGTGAATTCCTCAGTGGAACTTGGATGAACTTGGGACATGCAGCCAGGAGATCGAGAGTGATAAGATCCCCTGGCAGGTTGGGGCTGAGAATCCGATCCCAGAGGAGATGGCCAAGTCCCTACGTGCCTGGGCGCAAAATGTTGGATTTTGGTCGTGCAAGTGGCGATGTCCCATGGGCACACCACGCACACCACGGGCATGAATTGGCACCCAACGTGACTGAGTATGGCCGAGGGCTGTGTTTCGTAGATCGTCTTGGCTCTTGGCCGTAAATGCTGCAGATGCACCATCCAGCACAAGTGCGGCAGGGACCATCACTTTGTCGCTTTCCACATTCGGTGGATCGGTGGATATGCTCGCCACTGCGCGACCATCAGCTCCCTTAGGCGTCATGGAACGCATCGTGTCCCAGAACGTCTTCCATCGCCAACACATGATCTATCGGAACTATCCAACTCTGGAGGCCTGGTACTGCTTGCTTGCTACGCTCCAAACCATTCAGCACTCAGAACACAGGCTTCCAATATCTTCTAATTATTTAATTCACATCTATAAGCAGTCTTGCTTTACGAGAATCTTGGTAGATGCTATCGTGATACGAATCATACTTCTTTGTGTACATGAACGTGTGAGCCGCACGAGAACAGTTTCAACCGTGGATACATTCTAAGTGTTGCCACAGGAGTTGGCCCGTTTAGACGAGATTCGGATGGAAGAAGCGTTGGGAGGCTGGGACAGGACGGAGGCAATGGAGGGTGTGTCTTGAAACCAGAGGAACTGGCATTTCACCGGCAAAAATTAGGATGCAGGATGATGCAAGAAGAAACAATGGGATACTAAGAGCTACAAAAGGGACTAGAATCAAACAAGAAGAGATGGTTCCGTCCAACAACAAATGGACATTCAGAAATTCTAGACTCATCAAATCCCCATGAACGTACATTTTGGTGGGCTTTATCGGTCCCTGGCTGGACATACACATGCAGCAAACGGCCAAGCGCATTATTCCCTTTCTGAGAGAAAAAAACGCCTAGCCAATGATGTATAATTATAGGTGACTTGGCAGGTCAGGAAATACCTCCAAGACAGGCAAGAAAGTCTGTGTAACGACAGAATTTGGCTTTGGCAATCAGAGCTTCTTAGTTTTGGCAATCGCTTTCAGCTCTTGATCCAGTGCCCCAGAGCCAAGACAGGTACGACGGGCTGGGGACCCCAGTCTCTCTGGTCACTAGGGAACTCACCTTTCGGCTTCCATGTTTCAACAGCACTATTTCAGGGCTGCTGAAGCCGCATGAAGTGGCTCTGACGGGCTAGGGCTAAGGGCATTTCCCGGAACTATTTCATATACTTTCATCCATGAGTAGATCTTGATGGCAACTTCGGATGAGGTTGCTACTTTTGTACATAGATTTGAGAAGGGTTGACGTAAGCAACTTTCCCGGCTCCCAGTTGTACACCAAAAAAGGATGCGCGGCATCCATTCGGACTCAATACAAAGATTTTGTCACCTAACTGATAAGATGATTGATCCAATAATGATCTTAGGATGTACCGCCATGATTGTCACAAGCTGTGTCATTTGCACCAGGCACCTCAGGCTTCGAGGCTGCCATGGAAGCAGTGGCAGAGGACAGCAGCCATGCTAACCCATGCTATTACCTTGCCATGGGGAGCGCGTCGCACGAGTTTCTTGGGTAACTGGTTTTTCTTCAGCAGTGCTCAGATGTCACTTTGGAAATGGTGGAACTGCAGGAGATGGCTGCAGCGGAACCTCCGGTCTGGATTCCAAGCCCAATATGGGAGGTTGGGGAGGAGTTGGACCCAGGACAGCAACATGAAAGGCAGTTCCTCCATCAAAAATCCATGTAAAGATCATGAATTGCGCACTTCCGGGGCAAGTTGCTTGGAGGGTAATTAGTCAGATGTTGGTCACAGCTGGCAGATTTCTGAGGCCGGTGCTGGTTTGGTGGAGGACGCTAGCGGGAGATGTGAGCTCTAGACTCATATGGTGGCAGATTTGGCTTCCAATGAGCACCGCTGCGGCCCAGAATGTCACACGGACATGATGCATCCATCCTCACTTTGCTTGACTAAATCCCTCAGTTTCTCGGTTTTTTCGTTCTTTGAACCGTTAGACATCCCTTAATCAGAGTTGAAAAGAGATATCTGCCCGCATTTTCTGGTCACCACGGTAGGGTGACATGACACAGCGCAGGCCGATATGCCGGATATGGGAGATGAAATGGGCCCAGTCCTTGAAACAGGGCTGAGTCAAGAGAATTTGAGTACTGTACTCCTATATCCCCTGATTTGGATGCTTCACATCCCCCAATACACTGAAAGTTGGATGGTTCGACGCCAAAAACTGCCTGAATCCAGCACACACACACACATGTGCAGTACCACAATCCCTCTTCCCAGAACAATCCACTCAATCGAATGCTTTTCGACCTGGGTCGCCATGGGGCATAAGGTCTGAATATTTTCATTTGCAGCCTTGCCATTCTTTATCTTTATGATTCTTTATTATGTTTTTTGAATGACGGACATATGGCTTGGTTTCAGATGCTGAGCTGAGGTGATGACCTGGTCGAGGATGTCGCTGAAGGGGAGGATGTGGACAAGCCAGCCTTGCAGGAGCCACAATAAACGATCCGGTGAGTTGCAAGCCTACTGAGTTTGCTCGCGCATGGCATGGTATAGTTGCTGTGGTCTCACCAGGTATGCCATGGTATGCCACCAGGATGCTACCCGGTGTCCCCCAGGATCCCCATGGATCCCTGCGGATCCCTATGATCCTCCCATGGCGAAGCGGCGAAGGACCTCTTCTGCTTCGACGCGCCGCAGTTGACGCAAGGGATGACTGTGACCTGCGCCGAGTGGAACAGCAACAACAAGGACGGCGGGGTCACCGGGTGGGAAACCACACTGTTCAGAGATTCATTCAAAACACTCCCCAACCAAAAACGAACGGAGGCCCCCCATGACGTTGCTTGCATCCCTGTTTTGATAGATTGCATAGGCATCCCTGGAAATGAAATCCTCACCGTTGTAAATGATATCCCAGTCACAGATGTGGGTTTTTGATGGTATAGATTATAACTGACAGATGACAAATCATAGAAGCATAACGCGCCATTTCACAGTCACCGCTGGCTGGAAGCAGGACCTGTTGGCAGTTTCCTATGGTGACACGGCGCCGGTGCCAATCAATCCAGGCAATCTGAACCCATCGGATCTGAGGATTGTGAGGTACGGGAGGGACCATTGCAATGCTTCATGGATGTTTCAAGCAATACATGGCCGACATGGCTCACATGGCGAATCATTGCATGGCAGCGAAGCACGTTGCAAGCCACAGGCGGCTTGGTCCTGTTTTGGTCCTTGAAGAACCCCACATACCCTGAGAGGGTCATCCGAACCAGACAGGGGGTCGGGACCTCAGATGCCTATAGGATGCCTATAGGATGCCTAGGACTGCGAAATTTCTTCCAGCCTTCTGTTTCAGGTTGGGATGAGGTTGGGAGACTTCCTGTTGATACTTAGGATCAGCCTTTCATATCAGCCTTTCATATTCTGAGATTTTCAAACAGACTCCACAGGAGATTGCCATCCCCGCATATCCCATAACTCTTGCCTGCCCGCCCACAAGGTCACGACCCTTCATTTCTCTTCCATCCACCCGATCCTTGGGCTGCAACTCTCATGGAACGTGACTTGAAATTAGGTGATACCATGTGAAACCAATGCCAGCACCAAAAATCCTCAATTGTTTGCGAACAGTTCCGGATGTGCCACAGGATTGACTCAACGTTGGGCATTTCCTCGAACATATTTCTTCACAAGAGGTTTCTGATGTTCTACAGTGGATTCTACAGAACAAGCACATCCGGGATGGGAAAGGTGCAGACCTGCGGACCTTCCAAGGAACATGGTGGCCGCTGGAGCTCACGATGGTTCAGTTGCAGAGCCAAGTTTTTGCTGGGTGGATCATGTGGATCGTCCTGAAGACAACGCCCCCCATTTCATCCACGGTAAGACAACAAGAATACATGACTTCAATGTATTCAATGAATACATATATACATTATATATATATGCAGTATATATCGTAATTGTTTGATTTTGGCTGCCGCAAAAAGTGCGCCGACTGAATGGAGGCTTGATAAGCTATCACAGTCCATATTTTTGCTGGTGAACTATGGTGAACTAGCCGACAACAAACCTTCCAGTGATTGAGTCTTGTTGCTCCCTTCCATCAGGTGATGATTTGGGACCTGCGCCGGCCGTCAGATGCTCCTGTCCTGCGGAGTGGCTCATCAGTGCGGCTTGGCCGCTAGGAGTGGGATCGACAAGTGCCCTCGGCCCCTACAGGTGCTGAGAATGTGTCAGCTAGTCCGAAACATTCCGAAACTACGAAAATTTGCATTCCTGCAACTTTGAAAAGACGAAGGTGTGTGAAGACGTGTGGAGATATGAGAAGATATGTGAAGATGTGTGAAGATGTGTGAAGATGTGTTGATTCTCTGGGGTGCCATCCTCTAAAACCAGGTCGTCGCACAACGACCAAAAGCACACGGACATCGTGTGGGAGACCAGATGGGTGGACCAAGGGCCTGATAAGCAGCCGGGACCTTGGGAGCCGATTTGGAGCCGATGGAAATCGTCCCAATTGAGCTGCCCTCGGGGGGAAACCATGGGAAACCGTTGAAGCCGTTGTAGCCTCCAACCTTTGAAAGGTAGAACAATGTAGAAGACCCAAATGGTATAGAGGTTGTATACACAGTCTGAGATCCCTCAGATTCGCCACAATTCACCGTGATTCTCTTGCCATCGCAGAAGCCTTTTGCTCGGCTCAAGACGACCTCGCGTGGTGCCACCTCTTTTGGAAGCATGGTCAAGATGGTCAAGTGCGGGACCCAAACTTGTTTTGTTTCAGAGTTTTTCCCGAGAGCGTCCGAGCGAAGGGTTCTTCTGAAAGTGGAGGTTTGTTATACATCTTCACATCTTCACATCTTCACAAACTCACACCTTCTTCACATCTTCACATCTTCACATCTTCACATCTTCTTACCTTCACATCTTCACATCTTCACATCTTCACATCTTCACATCTTCTCATCTTCTCACCTTCACATCTTCACATCTTCACATCTTCACATCTTCTCATCTTCTCATCTTCTCATCTTCACATCTTCACAAACTCACACCTTCTTCACATCTTCTCATCTTCTCATCTTCACATCTTCACAAACTCACACCTTCTTCACATCTTCACACCTTCACATCTTCGTACCTTCACATCTTCACATCTTCTCATCTTCTCAGCTTCACATCTTCACAAACTCACACCTTCTTCACATCTTCACATCTTCACATCTTCACATCTTCTTACCTTCACATCTTCACATCTTCACATCTTCACATCTTCTCATCTTCTCATCTTCACATCTTCACAACTCACACCTTCTTCACATCTTCACATCTTCCTACCTTCCCATCTTCACATCTTCACATCTTCACATCTTCTCACCTTCTCATCTTCACATCTTCACAAACTCACACCTTCTTCACATCTTCACATCTTCACATCTTCTTACCTTCACATCTTCACATCTTCACATCTTCACATCTTCACATCTTCACATCTTCTCATCTTTTCATCTTCACATCTTCACAAACTCACACCTTCTTCACATCTTCACATCTTCTTACCTTCACATCTTCACATCTTCACATCTTCACACCTTCACATCTTCTCATCTTCACATCTTCACAAACTCACACCTTCTTCACATCTTCACATCTTCACATCTTCTTACCTTCACATCTTCTCATCTTCACATCTTCACATCTTCTCATCTTCTCATCTTCACATCTTCACATCCTCACATCTTCACATCTTCACATCCTCACATTTGCACATCTTCACACATCTTCTCTCTCTCCCTCTCTCTCCCTCTCTCTCCCTCTTCACATCTTCTTACCTTCACATCTTCTTACCTTCACATCTTCACATCTTCACATCTTCTCATCTTCTCATTTTTACATCTTCACAAACTCACACCTTCACATCTTCACATCTTCTTACCTTCACATCTTCACATCTTCTTACCTTCACATCTTCACATTTTCACATCTTCACATCTTCACATCTTCACATCTGCTCATCTTCACATCTTCACATCTTCTTAACGTCACATACTAACATGTTCACATCTTCACATCTTCACATCTGCCCATCTTCACATCTTCACATCTTCACAAACTCACACCTTCACATCTTCACATCTTCTTACCTTCACATCTTCACATCTTCTCATCTTCTCATCTTCACATCTTCACAATGTCACACCTTCACATCTGCTCATCTTCACATCTTCTTACCTTCACATCTTCACATTTTCACATCTTCTCATCTTCACATTTTCACATCTTCACATCTTCACATCTGCTCATCTTCGCATCTTTACATCTTCTTACCTTTCCATCTTCACATCTTCCTACCTTCCCATCTTCACATCTTCACATCTTCACATCTGCTCATCTTCACATCTTAACATCTTCACATCTTCTCATCTTCACATCTTCACAAACTCACACCTTCACATCTTCACATCTTCTGACCTTCACATCTTCACATCTTCACATCTTCACATCTTCACATCTGCTCATCTTCACATCTTCACATCTTCACATCTTCTCATCTTCTCATCTTCACATCTTCACAAACTCACACCTTCACATCTTCACATCTTCTTACCTTCTTACCTTCACATCTTCACATTTTCACATCTTCACATCTTCACATCCGCTCATCTTCACATCTTCTTACCTTCACATCTTCACATTTTCACATCTTCACATCTTCACATCTTCACAAACTCACACCTTCTTCACATCTTCACATCTTCACATCTTCTCATCTTCTCATCTTCACATCTTCACAAACTCACACCTTCACATCTTCACATCTTCTTACCTTCACATCTTCACATTTTCACATCTTCACATCTTCACATCTGCTCATCTTCACATCTTCACATCTTCACATCTTCTCATCTTCTCATCTTCACATCTTCACAAACTCACACCTTCACATCTTCACATCTTCTTACCTTCACAAACTCACACCTTTTTCACATCTTCACATCTTCACATCTTCTTACCTTCACATCTTCTTACCTTCGCATCTTCACATCTTCTCGTCTTCTCATCTTCGTATCTTCACTAACTCACACCTTCACATCTTCACATCATCACATCTTCTTACCTTTACATCTTCACATCTTCACAAACGCACACCTTCACATCTTCACATCTTCTTACCTTCACATCTTCACATTTTCACATCTTCACATCTTCACATCTGCTCAACTCCTCACCTTCACATCTTCTCATCTTCACATCGTCACAAACTCACACCTTCACATCTTCACATCTTCTTACCTTCACATCTTCACATTTTCACATCTTCTCATCTTCACATTTTCACATCTTCTCATCTTCACATTTTCACATCTTCACATCTTCACATCTTCACATCTGCTCATCTTCGCATCTTTACATCTTCTTACCTTCCCATCTTCACATCTTCCTACCTTCACATCTTCACATTTTCACATCTTCTCATCTTCACATTTTCACATCTTCACATTTTCACATCTTCTCATCTTCACATTTTCACATCTTCACATCTTCACATCTGCTCATCTTCGCATCTTTACATCTTCTTACCTTTCCATCTTCACATCTTCCTACCTTCCCATCTTCACATCTTCACATCTTCACATCTGCTCATCTTCTCATCTTCACATCTTCACAAACTCACACCTTCACATCTTCACATCTTCTTACCTTCGCATCTTCACATCTTCTTACCTTCCCATCTTCACATCTTCACATCTTCTCATCTTCACATCTTCACATCTTCACATCTTCTCATCTTCACATCTTCACATCTGTGCCGACGAGGTGCCATGATATGGCCTCTGTATGTAAAAGTGTCTGTGCGTAAAAGCGTCTGTGTGTAAAGGAGCCTGTGTGTAAAGGCATCTGTGTGTATAAGCGTCTCTGTGTGAAAAGGATGTAAAGTACCTGCGTGTAAAAGTGTTTGATGTAGAACTCTTTCTAGATTTTCATCTTACAGCCTTGGCTTGTTATCTTTTTCTTCTCGTCTGCCTCTAATACATCTTTAATATATTGTCTTGTAATATATCGCCTAGTTCACTAGCTGAGACAATGGTTCCTAGTTCTGCTGCGCTAAATCTATTTTCTTTCCGTTCCCCCCAACTTCATCCAGAATGACTACGCGAAGGCGGGTGCTGGCTATGTGAAAGGCGTTGAAATTTTCAAGAATGTTTCACACTTTCTTAATTAATTTCTCCTCAGCCAATTGCCTCTCTACTTTTGTTCATAAATTTTCACAATTTCAAGGGCTAAGGTTCTGTGCACAGACTTCTGCAGTCTGCACGGTTCAATCAAAAAAAATATATCTTCTTGATACTGTTCTGCTCGTCTGCCTATAATACATCTTTAATACATTGTCTTGTAATATATTGTCTTGATACTAACAACAGAAGAACTTGCTCCTCTACGCTCTCGGGCCAGCCGTCGCCTATTTTTTTGAGGCAAACTTGTATAAAGTGATCAAAGCACCTACGGCAGCCGCCCATTTCGGGCTCGCCTCAGGTCGAAGTTCAGCGTTGATCCCTCCTTGGAGGTGCCCTTGGGGGCATCCTATGGACAATGCATGAACCAGAGAAAACACATGAAAACAAGGTCAAGCAATCTGAAGTACATGCTAAAGAGCCATCATGAGCCTCCCCCAAAGTGTCCGTATCCCAACAAACGCTTCTATCAAGGCGGTGGCGGAATTTTCAAAAATAGGAAACCTATAGGAGAGCTTGGTTGTTGTGAATCCGGGATGGCATAGCGAATCCACTGATGGACCGAAAGGTGCTTGAGGTCTCCTCTCTTTCTCTCTCTTTTTCTGACTATCTATCTATCTATCTATCTATCTATCTATCCATCGATCTATCTATCTATCAATCTGTCTAGCCATCTATCTATCTATCTATCTTTCTATCTATCTATCTATCTATCTATCTGTCTAACTATCTTTCTATCTATCTATCTATCTATCTGTCTAGCCATCTATCGATCTATCTATCTATCTAACTATCTTTCTATCTAACTATCTATCTATCTATCTATCTCTCTATCTCTCTCTCTCTCTCTTTCATCTGTCTATCTGTCTAACTGTCTACCTGTCTATCTGTCTATCTGTCTTTCTATCTACCTACCTATCTATCTATCTACCTATCTATCTATCTCTCCATTTCATCTGTCTATCTGTCTAGCTGTCTACCTGTCTATCTGTCTAGCTGTCTACCTGTCTATCTGTCTATCTATCTATCTATCTATCTATCTGTCTACCTGTCTATCTGTGGTGCAGTGTCATTCAGTGTAATGTAGTGTGGTGTAATGTAGTGTGTTGTAGTGTAATTTAGTGTAGTGGAGTGTACTGGAGTGTAGTGTAGCGTAATGTAGTGTACTGGAGTGTGGTGTAGTGAAATGTCCTGTAGTGTAGTGTAGTGAAGCGAAGCGACATCTGAACCTCCAAAAGTGGTCCGAAACCCTAGTGTTTTGAACATTTTGGCTTCGAAATGTCCTTCGCACCACAACGGCATGCACTTTTTCGACATCTGAACCTCCAAAAGTGATCCGAACCCCTAGTGCTTTTAACATTTTGACTTCGAAATGTGCTTCGCGCCACAACGGCGTGCACTTTTTCGACATCTCAACTTCCAAACGTGGTCCGACAATGGTGTGTTTTGTACATTTTGACTTGGAAATGTGCTTCGCGCCACAACGGCGTGCACTTTTTCGACATCTCAACTTCCAAAAGTGGTCCGAGAATGGTGTGTTTTGTGCATTTTGACTTGGAAATGTGCTTCGCGCCACAACGGCGTGCACTTTTTCGACATCTCAACTGCCAAAAGTGGTCCGACCATGGTGTGTTTTGCACATTTTGACTTGAACATGTCCTTCGCGCCACAATGGCGTGCACTTTTTCGACATCTGAATCTCCAAAAGTGGTCCGACAATGGTGTGTTTTGTACATTTTGACTTGGAAATGTGCTTCGCGCCACAACGGCGTGCACTTTTTCGACATCTCAACTAGTAAAAATGGCCCGAAGCTGGTGTGCTTTGTACATTTTGACTTGGAAATGTGCTTCGTGCCACAACGGCGTGCAATTTTTCATCTCTCATCTGGCCAACTGGCTTCGCACCCGCCGCTTTAGCGAGCCTACTTTTCGACCTTCCGGAGCCACAAAACACTGGAAAAACACAGTGTTTCGCGACTTTCCTACCTTTTCGCGCATCTGCATCTTCTTTCTTCTGGCTCTTTCTCTTCTAATCTTTCTCTTCTCTCTGACCCTTTCCATCTCTGCTTTTCATCTGTCCATATTGTCGGAAGTTTGACTTCTAAACTTCCTTCGACAATAGATTCTGTATTGTTTCAGATAACCCTTGAAAAGTAAGACTTGAAGGAAACGCCGCTTCTGAGGCCAAGATGCATCAGTACCAGATCGTGGGTCGAGCTGCGCCAACCAACAAGAATCCAACACCCAAGAACAGACCTCAGATCACCAGAAACTGCTGTTTTCGGCAGGGATTACTTACACAAGTTGATTAAATTGGATATCAACAGCCCCAAATCGCTGCATCCAGTATCGAAAAATTGGGATTTCCACGTGAACAACAGGGATGATTGACTTGCATTGAACTGGTGCTGCTATGAGTTCAAAACAGGGAACCGATGACATTATTGAGAGTCAGGATGCCCAAACGATGTGGAAGGATGGTTTGAGAGTTTGTATGCCGTCAGGATCTACCGGATGCGTATCTTCGCGCGCAACGTGGTTTTGGCCAAGTCCCGCTTTTGGTATTTCATGAAGAGGTTGAACAAGGCAGTCGGCCTCAAGTCGAGGGTGAAGAGTCAGCCCACGGTGTGACAACAGTGTTCCCTCTACGGGGATTAGTTGAAGAGGTAGTAGCTAGCTGTCAGGCGAAGAAGAGCGGCGGTGAGTTGTTGGCACGAGCCTCAAGATACTTGTGTCATTTTTGCCGGTGATGGCCGATACATCAAAAGATAATTGCTTGGGATGGCGGGTTTCTTTGGTGCGTGTGTAGTTCCTCCAGAGGCTCCAGAGGAAGCAGCCACCCCCTTGGAGCGATGAATTCGTCCATATGACATCCGGTCTTTATGTCATTTTATAATCAAAATATGTGAGCTATGTTGAACCATCATAAACAAATATATACAAATATAATCAAATATCGATTTAAATTTATTTTCTGCCCTTTGTCGGGGCCCCAAGAATGTGAATTATTTGCTCCACGGACTTCTCGTCGCAGTCGTGCGAGCTGCCAGGCGGTCAATGAGCTCTTCGACACGTCACCAACGAAGGCTTGGCCTAGCAACGATGCTGAATGATTCTGAATGGAGATGGAGACTTCCCATTTCTGGTGTTTGATGCCACTTTTCCTTGTAGTTGTGCACATTGTGCACCAGTAGTTTAGTCGATTCCGAAAAGCCTAAAAATAGAGCCTCAGCGAAACTAGTTTGGATGTGCATGACAATTTGGCCATAGTTGCATACCTTCGCTGCAGCTCTCTAACTCTAATTGTGAGCGTTGGCGGGACCCCAGCAGCTGGTCTGCCCACGGCTGCATTGCCATGAGGTCAAGAACTATGGCATTTGGCTCCGGTATGACAGCCGCAGGGCGCCTCAGACTTCACGTTATGAATCCAGATGCGAAGCACGAGAAGTTCCACTTGGAGGTTTCAAGCAAGAACCCTGATTCCTCTGTTTTCTTCGAATTCCACTGGTAGACTTGCAGGAACCAACACCCACAACATGTACAAGGTGCATGGGCAGCAATCAAATGATTGCTTCAGAAGGAATTGAACACATGTATGTATAAACATGTACTGTATTTCTGATTGTCATTGAGTCATTGGTCATTTTGCCTCAGTACCCCTGCTTTCACACCACATTCCCAAGCTGATAGATTAGATGGCCCAATCATGTCGTATATGAGATGTTTCAAGACGTTAAAGGATATAAAAGATGTTGTGAGACGATGTCAGATGTATTGTTGGCGCATACATGTACCACGACGATTCTGCCGACCAGCTATGACCCCAGGAGTTCCGCAACATCAACATCAACGGGGCCGTGGGACAGCTCTACCAGGAGGGATGATGGGCACGGAATTCCGCGGTGGTGTTTTTCAAGGCATCCAACAACCTCAACTGGCACAGAAGTTACCAAGTATTTAACTTGTGTTTGCTAAGTCAGAAAGATATTTAATTAGGCAACGTAGGCCAACAACACCATTATTTTTTGCACTGTTCTTGCTTTGGAAGAAAAACGGTCACTTTTCTGGTATTATCTCTGAACGCTCATGGGCAGTGGAAGTTGATTGACATCTCTGGTAGGAAATGGCTGGCCGCCATCGAACCTCAGCAGCACATGGACCAACTTATGGACAGTTGGGGTAAGATTGGTACAAATTACAAAACTATATGTATGACACGTAACTTCGAATTCTGCACTGTGAAATGCTCAAGTCAATGCATCCGTGGATTTCTGAGGTAGGTAGGCTGCTGCTTCTAGGATCGGGATCTAGTTGGTTTGGGATTTGGTGCCCTGCTCATTGCTCTGCGAGTGTCCCCTTACTTGCCTCCATCTTCATTGCGGGGTTTGGACTTGGGGCCCTCACTGTGCTTGGACTTTTGGCACTTTTCTTCCTGTATCCCTTGCCCTATCCTCGCTCTTCACCTGCTGCCTCTGATTCACCTGCTCCAAATCACAGGCTTGCTGCTTACTTGCATGAGCGAGGGTGGCAACTTGGCATTCACCATCCGCCAAGCCATTCTGACCCTCCGCCATCTCGCTGATTCTTTGGAGTCAGCTCTTGAACAAGATCAGAACGAGGAAAGTCGTCGCGTTCGCTCTGGGCCTAGAGCACCTGCCTCCCAGAGGACATCTGATTGGGATTTGCTTACTGTTTCTGCTGCTTCAGCAGCTCCATCTGAGCCATCTGCTGTGCAGTCTGCTTCACGAGTATCTGAGAACTCCTGCTACAACGAGGTGGCCTTGTTGCTTACTAAGGCACCTCAACACTGCTTTGACATTTGCTCCAGGTTGTCAGGCACTGTGGAGTTTGTCAAGTTCCGTGTGCAGAGAGCGTGGGAAGCTGGACAGTGGGCCAAGGCGGTCATCGACGAAAGGGTCCCGAAACCTCGACCTACGCCCAAGATTGAGGTCAAGTCCACAGTCTACATTGTGGTGCGTGGTCCTGGTGTGCAGCATCCTGTTAGGGTCAGTTCAGCTGCAGCCTACTATCAGCTTGTCCCAAAGTTCACAGAGAGCAGCATCAGTCACGGATTCCCTTCGCTGGCAGAGGCCACAGTCTATTGCCTGGCGATTGGAATTAGTCTTCCTCCTGAGGCACCATGAGCAGTCTGGCAATGAGGATGAAGGCCATCAAGACGGTCGATCAGGGGCTTGCGTTCCAATACATCCTGAAAGCTCCGAACGATCTTGCGGTGGTCCCAGACAGTGGAGAGACCTTGGTGGTTCCAGTTTTGAAGAGAAGGGATGGACTGATGCTAGCAGTTCCAAAGGGGTTTTTCTTTCAGGAGACCTTGGATCAGGCGAATGCAGCAGCTCCCACAGATCTCTTGGGGCCGAATACAGCGGTGGTGGTCCCAGCAGTTTTCGAGGAGGAGGATGGGTCGGAGACAGTTTTGGGCATAGATCTGGAAGTCATCCTGATCGACGTCGGGGTGGGCATTGCAGACTATATTCGTCTCTTCGACCCTGTGACCGAAGGCGAGGGGACCCTGTGTTTCTACGAAAGTTCAGTAGAGACTTACCCTTCACCCCAACCCATGCTGGAGACTGCCTTGAACTGGATTCAGACGTCGGCAGAGGACCGTGTTGGATTCTACACAGCAGTCGAGGAGGAAGGGGTCATGAAGGCATCACCCAAGGCCTCACCTGCGCCCAAAAAGGCCTCGAAGAAGGTCACTACGGCGAGCCTGGCAGAACAAGTATCAGCCATTGCAGGTACTCTCCCAGCTGTATTGGAACAGCTGACTTCGCTCCAGGACAAGCAGATGCAACTGGAAAGTATGATGTCTTCTGCCCGAGCTCAGGAGAGGGTGCCCGCCTACAGGCAGGACTTTCCCATCCATACTCCAAAGGCTCCTTTCCCAGCCGTTGCGAAGTTTATGCAAGAGATAGGCCCACCTCCCAAGGCAAAGACTCCAGGGACAGGCCTTCCTCAAAACGCTTTGATTGGAGGAAATTCCTTAGGAGACGAACTAACCGCTGCTCCTTGCGAAGAAGGTTTCATGGAACAGATGGGGTTGGCGGCTCATGCGGAGGTAGAGGGCGGCAGCGTGCAGCAGATGCTCCTTCAACAATCTCAAGCCCTCACGACGCTGGTAGCGCATTTGGCATCTCAAGATGGATTTCACGATCTGGCAGGAACTGGATCGGGCACTTCCCTTTCTATGAAAGGCTCTGCAAGGCGGGAGAAGCTTTTGAACGATTTGGCATCCAGGAAGGGAAACTTCATGCTGAAGGTAGCCCAGAATGCCTTTCGCAGACTTCGGCCCTCAGAGCCTGTACCACAGAGCTTGGAAGACTTCCAAGGGAAACCTCTCTTTGCCAAGTACTTGGAACGTCATGGTGGATATTCTGCGAATCGGGACCTGGGGCTCATTATGTGGTTGCTATGCCAGATGGCGGATCAGATGGTGCAGGGCGATCCCATAGGAGCCATGGAGATGCTCGCATTGACCATGACCTCCATAGAGCAGGCAGCCCAAGACGGAGGCAAATGGGAAGTCGCATGGCTCCTCTCGTTGCAGGAGGACCCTCCTGCGGGGGTCTTTGGCACGAGACCGGCATCCTCAAACCCACGCCTTCGGGCGTTTGCCCCTTTATGCCCAGCGGAATGGGCGGCGACGTCGCTGAGCTATGTGAAGGAGTTGGACATCATCAACTCACGCAGACAGGAAGCAATCCCAGGGAAGAAGCCGAAGAAGGAGGAGGAGAAGGAGCCTCCGAAGCGGCCCCCACGGACGCCAAAGAAGCCAAAGGGAACTTCCAAGGGCGAAAAAGGGGAAGATGCTTAGCTGCCAGACCTGAGACTTGTGGTCCTTCGCTTGAGCCTGCCAGCTGCGCGGGTGAGGTGACTCTGGGGGTGCAACCTCGGGGTGGGCTCCCTGCTTGCAATCAGGATGCACTCCTTGGACCTGACGGCCAGGATGTGCTCTTTGCTGGCGAAGGTGAGGTGGCTCGGGGCCCCAAGGCCCAGGGCGTGCTCCCTTCACTGCCTGGGGATGCTTGCATGTCCGGGCACGCTCGCGAAGTTGAGGCAGATAAGCAGGATGCTTTTGAGAGGCCATCTCAAAAGGGCCAGAGTGAGAAATGCAAGAGCACCTCTGTTCCGGGGTTTGTCCCTGCCAGGTGCAAATTAGCCAAGCCCCCGAAGTGGAGCACGATGCAATCCTTTTCTTTTGATGTGTGGTGCAAGAAGCTCTGCACGTATGTTTTGAGGTCGCGGACTCCCTTTGCGGAGTTCTTGAAGACCACCCTCCATGTTGACAGGAGCATGCATGTTGCTTCTGACAGGGCCCTTTTTCCATTGCCTGTTCCGAAGATTGGCGCCTTTTGCACCAAGCATTGTGGATCAAGAGAAAGAGTGAAGAGGAGTTTTGATCAAGCTTTTCACATCGTGGTTATGGCTTTGAACTACCTCCACTCTGACTTCAGGTTCGTGCCAATTGAGGCCATTGCTTTGACGCCCTCTTCATCACAGCTGGCCACTATGGCACGGCTGCGCAATTTGGTTAGGGCCTTCGGTAGCTGCTCGGATACTTTTGATGTGCCTAGCAGTGGCCGTAGAACCACATCTCTTATTGGCCTTCTCACTGACTTGGGTGGGGTGCTCACTTGGGAAGGTGCAGCTGGCGATGGGTACCAGAGGGGCTTTCAAGGAGCTGCAGGAGGTCTTGCAGAGGCCATCAGCGTGCCCCGCGACCTTGACAAGGCCGACGAGCTCAGGCCCTACAGAGACCTAGATCCTGCCAGGCTCAAGATTACTGGAACTGCCTCATGGTGCCCTCAAGAATATCTTTCAGACTCATTATGGCTTGCGTACGTCGAGCCAGCCAGTTTGATTTGGACCCACGAGATCCCGGTCAGTGATGTTCCCACGCTATCGAAGGAGAAGTATGACACCACGCTCCAGCTTGCAAAACTCTGGGATGTCAAAGGGCTTTTGTTTTTGAGGAAGGTCCCTGATGACTATGACTGGCGTCAAGGGGCCATGCATTTCTTCAACAACTACAAGGCAGCAGACTGCGACAGGATGATTGGTGACAGACGTCGCATGAACTGGCGAGAGGGCCGCATCCCTGGTGTCTCCAGGGCATTGCCAAGTGCTCACATGCTCTCAGTTCTGGAGGTCTGCCCCAGGCTTCAGAGAGTATCAGTTTGCATTTCAGACAGGCGCGATTTTTACCACCAATTCAAGGTTACAGAAGAGAGAGCAGCATCAAATGCAGTTTGGCCTCTGCTGAAGTCAGAAGATGTTTTTGAGTTGCGTGCGTTTGATGAGTTCAGCAGGAGGTCAAAAAGGCAGAGGTATGATCGTAGAAGGCATGGTGATGGTTTTGGCTTTGCAATGACGACTCGGTCCCAGCCGGGTGGCCTGCTTCAACCATGTTTTTGCTCATTGCCTCAGGGAGATCACTTAGGAGTAGAGTTCGCTACGGATGCCCATAGGAACCTTCTCTCTTCTCGTGGCCTCCTTTCTGCGCATGAAGAGCTCCGATCAGACTCTACCTTCAGGGGAACCTCAGCCTTGCAAGGTTTGGTTATTGATGATTTCTTTTCTGTTGCCGTGCAAGATGTTGGTGAGGGAGGCCAATTGTCAAAAGCAGTCCGAGCCTTCAAGACAGCCAAGGCATGCTATGAGGCCCAAGGACTGATGGGGTCAGATGCCAAGGATGTTGTAGATGCGGATCAAGCCAAGATCATTGGAGGTGAGATTGATTCCTCTGAGAAGACAAGGGCTCTTGGCGTTGTGACACTGGCCTCCCCAGTCAGAAAGAGGCTAGCTTTGGCTTTTATTTCTCTTGAGCTTGCACAACTCCCTTCGACAACAGATGTTTTGCATGCTTGCTTGATTGGTGGGTGGGTGCACTCTCTTTTGTATCGGCGTCAGTTTATGTCAGTGCTGGACAAGTCATTCAGTTTTGTGAACGCATCTGAGATTGACAGAGATCTTCCGCGAGTGGTTCCTTTGACAAGAGCGGTAGCTCAAGAGATAGTGCTGCTTTCAGTCCTTTGCCCTCTTTTTGCTACAGACCTTGGAGCCACCCTCATCACCAAACTTTATGCTTCTGATGCTTCTGATCGTAAAGGCGCCTATGTCTCCCGGGACATGCCTGAGCATGTAGCCCGAGCGATGTGGAGATCAGGAAGGAAGAAGGGAGGCTACGTACGTATGTTGAACAGGTCAGAAGCCCTCATCCGGAAGCTTGACCCTGACTTCGAGGAGCTCAGCTGGGAGGTTGGTGGAGAAGTTTCCCAGCGAGTTGAGAGGCCTCGGGCGCATAGGTACCACTTCATTGAGCTCTGCGGTGGTGCCGGAAAGGTAACCAAATACCTCTCTCAAAGAGGCTGGGTATGTGGGCCTGTCCTTGACCTTGATGCATCGAGGCACTACAACCTACGTAGCCTGAAGCTCCTGTCTTGGGTCATTCACCTGCTAGAGGAAGATTTGCTGGACAGTTTCATGGTTGAACCCCCTTGCACCACTTTCAGCCCTGCGCAGCATCCTGCATCAAGAGGCTACGATTGCCCAAGGGGGTATGAGCCCTTGAATGAGAAGACGCTGCAGGGCACTGAGTTGGCACTTCGGGCTCTGACTTTGATTTATGTTGGGGCCAGACTTCACAAACCGGGACTTCTTGAACAGCCCAGAAAGTCAAAGATGCGGAAGTTGGAAGAGTGGATTTTTCTCGTGCTTGCAGGTTTTGCTGAGGAGCAGTGGACAGCTTCATGTGCGTTTGGTTCCCCCCATCAGAAAGAATTTGTTTTTCTTTGCACTGGCCTGCCTTCAGCAATGCTTCATAGAAAGTGCTCCAGAGATCATCGACATGTGCCCATTCAAGGTGTCTACACGAAGCCCTCTGCAGTTTACACTGATGAGCTTGCTTGCGTTTTGGCGCAGTGCTTTCATGAAGGCTTGAAGGTCTACTTGCAGAGGAAGGACTTGTCATCTTTTGACTCTGGAGGTTTGGAAATGCCCCTTTGTAATGATCTGCTTGTTTCTGGAGAGTGGAAGGTTGAGAATCAGTGGGCCTGGAGTGTTCCATGCCACATCAACGTGCAGGAGACTTCCTCCGTCTACAAACTCTTGAAGCAAGCAGCGTTGTGTCATCCCTCCTCCAGGTTCAGCGTGGTCATGGACTCCAACGTAGGCCTTTCAGCCTTAGTCAAGGGCAGATCGCCATCTCATGGTTTGCGAAAAGTGCTTAGAAGGTCAGGCGCTGTCACAGTTGCAGGAGGTTTGTATCCTGCCTATCATTTTGGGCCAACCAGGATCAACATAGCAGACTGCCCCACGCGAGACAATGAACTGCCAGTGCCCTGTCAGTCGATTGTCAACAGGCTATCAACCCTTGAGGAGGTTCTGGACTTTGCCTCAGTCGCGGAGTTGAGGAGACCAAAAGCAAACTGGGTCAGACTTTTTATGTTGGTTCATGGAGGGGCACTCAGTTGGAAGGGAAGCGAAGAATCCTGGAAAGATGCTCATCTTTGCAAGACGGCGATGGTCTTCAGCGATAGGCCGTTGCTCCAGGAGACAGCTTTTTCATTTGACTTCGATGCCTCTCTTGGTTTCCCAGGTGAAGGGCCATCCTCTTACTGCCGAGCATTCATGACCTCTCTTGGATTTTGGATTTTCCTTTTCCTTCCATGCCCTCTCCATTCCGTCATCGACACTCTTTGGACTTTGCCATGCAGGGCTTTTGGGCTTGGACTTTGGGCTGCCAGATACCCTAATAACCCCCGAAGTTTTTGGGGATTAAGGGGCCTTGTTCTTTACCCGATCCTAGCTAGTAGCATGCCGGTGGGAAGCCATGGTCCTCAAATGTTGCCGCGTGATGTTCGCGACAAACGAAGAGCTGAGCAGAGATCGGGACAAGTGCTGCCAATCGGACGCCCTGTTCTGGGACAGACTCAGTTCTATCGTGAAAGGCTGCTGGATCAGTTTTCTGCATGGCTGAAGACACAGGGGCTCGATTTTGACTCCTTGGTTTTGTCATCGACGCCGGATGTAGAAGGCATCAATCTTCTGCTGGAAAAGTATGGCCGGGCCCTCTACAATGCAGGAAGGCCCTACAACCACTATGCAGAGCTGATCAATGGCGTTGCCTCGAAGAAACCAATCCTCCGAAGGCAGTTGCAATCGGCTTGGGATCTGGCCTACGCATGGTTGCGTTTAGAACCTCCTACACATCACGTTGCGCTACCGTGGCAGGCTCTTCTGTCATTGCTCACCATCTCAATCAGCTGGGGATGGTTGAGAGTTGCTGGCGTGATCGCGCTATCCTGGGGTGGAATAACAAGGATTGGAGAGGTGCTCAACGCTTTCAGGAAGAATTTGATTCTTCCTTCAGACTTGGGAGGATCAGTAGCTTTTGCGTTGCTTGAGGTAGCAGAACCAAAAACCCGTTTTAGTGGAGCTCGTCACCAGAGCGCAAGACTGGACCAGCCACAACTCCTACGACTCGTTGATCTCGCATTTGCTGCTTTGAGACCCGAGCAGAGACTGTGGCCCATGTCTGGACAAACGATGAGATTGCGCTTTCAAAAACTCTTAACTGCAAACGGACTAGCGGACCTTCCGCCTGAGATCTCCAGAGGGATTGATCTTGGATCGTTGAGGGCTGGTGGAGCTTCATGGCTCCTTTTAACCTCTGAAGATTCGGAATTGACACGGCGCAGAGGCCGATGGCTGACCAGCAAGACCATGGAGGTCTATGTGCAGGAGTCGGCCTCAATCCAATTTCTTCCAAGGTTGCCAACCCACATCAAGCAGAGAGTTTTGACTGGTGCTGAAGCTTTCCCATGGGTTTTGGAATTTGCTGAACAGCTGTATGCCGCAAAAGTTCCCGAATCAATTTGGTATGTCCTATTCAAAAGCGAGACAGCTAAAAGCATTCCACAGGGTTTACAAAGTGGGGTTGGAGTGGGTGAAATTCATGGCCTGAAGCACAGATCCAGGCCCTGTGTACATTCCAGCCAATATGGAGGAAAACAGCCAGTTGAACAGCAGGGTGAGAGGTTGACACGTAACTTCGAATTCTGCACTGTGAAATGCTCAAGTCAACCCGCCCATCCCATGAGTGACCCTTCTCGCTTTTGAATGGGTGAAATTCATGGCCTGAAGCACAGATCCAGGCCCTGTGTACATTCCAGCCAATATGGAGGAAAACAGCCAGTTGAACAGCAGGGTGAGAGGTTATATATATATATTATTATTATTATAATTATTATTGTTATTATTTTTTAAAACGCATTTACACACACACACACATACACACATACACACATACATACATACATACATACATACATACATACATACATACATACATACATACATACATACATACATACATACATACATACATACATACACACATACACACATACATACATATATATGTATATATATATATACACCTAAGGCCGCGACGCAAGTCCCAAAAGGCCGCTGAAAAAAAAACAAACACACACACAACTGTACATGCGTATATGTATGTAAAATTATACATACATACATACATACATACATACATACATACATACATATATACATACATACATACATACATATATATAATATAACTAGAAAACATTTACAAGAATTAGTCTACTCCGGCGACTCCAATGGAGGACTCGAGGCGTTGAGACCGCCAACTGCCTTGCTGCTCAGGTGCAGACCCTGGATCCATCCAGATCATCCACGTGGGGAACTGAACGCTGACCTGCAGATACATTTTAAATCATTTTGAAGTTGGATTTGCCTAATCTGTATCAATCTGTATCAATATTCATCATCAATTTTCATCGATATTCATTAATTTACTTGAGCGAGTGAGTACCAGAAGCCACGCCAGCTTCAGGTCAAAGCTCTGGTGTCGTGCCATTTTCTGAGGCCGCCACCGTGAGCGATGAGAATTGCCGGCGTGAACACGTCCTGGAGAGACTTGGCTGTGAGCGGGAATTCTTGCGAAATGGCAACTCCCTGACATGGAGATGACCGGAAATCGACCGAAGAAAATGATATAATAATATGACCATGCATGATTCTGGATATAGCGATGATATACCAGTAGCATTAAACAATAGTGATACAAAAAGGAACAGACGATTCCATTGACCGCACCAAGGATGCACGACAAGGGGCTGAAGTTCCCCATCGTCCGGCCGGCACCTAAGCAACGAGAGCAACAAGAAGCGCAGGCGACGCCTTGACCAACAGGGCTACGGCTTGCGACCCAGGAAGGTCCCACATACCATCAAGAAGCTCCGGACCACCTTCAAGGCGATTTGGCATACCATTTTTGCATCGTTTTTCCGATTGCTGATTTGTTCCATGACCTTGATGCATTGCCTGTAGTCTTACCGCGCATCACATGTCCGCAGGCCAAGCGGCCAAACACCTTCGTGCGATAAGTGCAGTGACCTCAGTGTGGCTCTCTGGATCCTGCATGAATCCCATTCCTGCCAATATTGTTTATACACCGCTTAGTTTTTGTGAGTTAACCCAGGTCGAATGATCCTTCTATTATTGCTATGTATTGCTGTCTGTATATATATATATATACACATATCGATACATAAATAAATAAATAATAGATAAATAAATAAACAAATATATATATATATGTATATATATATATATCTCTCTCTCTCTCTCATATCCCCAACATGAATAGATCCAACACTGAACCAACGGGTTTAGATATTTTCAACCGAGGTCTGCAGCGGACCAGGTTTGGCACTTTTCACCACCACAGAGCTACCTGCGCCATGCAGGGGTCGTCTCGAAAATGGCTGCAGCTGGTTACAGCTGGGGGGCTATCGGGTCCGATGTGTCAGCTGAATGGCAAAGGATGGTGATGATGATGATGATGATGATGATGATGATTCCTTCGCCACCACATCACCGGACACATGACCAATTCATGTGGAACCTGCTCAATGGACAGTCGGCAGCAGTTTCTGGCCACCTGAGATCACCTGAGGCCTCCAGAGCTGTTGGTCTCGGTGAGTAGCGATGGGAATGTCCTCCAATGGTCGCTGAAGAAAGGTCGGCGAGCACAGCTTGCTTGGCACAGCTTGCCACAGTGCTTCAAGTACTAAGTCTCTAAGTGGCAACTTAGGATGCGTTAGCATGACTTAGCAATTCTTAGAAACTCTCAGCCTTAGCAAGCTCTTAGAAAAGATCCCGTTCTCGTCTGATCGGCGGACGGTCCCATGGCCTTGGAAACTTTGCCAGGCTTGGAGCAAATGTTGCTGATGCCTTTGAAGAGAATTCCGAATCCCTACCTCGGCCGGGAGCTGGAGCTTGGGGAACATTTCGGGGGGCTGATGTGTAAGAACCGATCCAACTGGCCTTGCATGTGATTTTCCACACGTCCCACCCAAAGATGATGTATAGTTTGAGATGATCGGACCTGTTTTCAGAGGGGCATACGGGGACATCCTCTGGCTGAGGTGCGAACTGCGTGTACAAACACAAAGAGGGAATTGTCTCCCGAAAGAGTAGCGGATTCTGTTGGCGGCTCAACATATTTGCATCTCTCTGGCGTGTTTCCTCACCTTTCCAGCGAGGTGGCAGTTGCGTTTTCTGAGGTATTGACTTCCCAAGGCATGATCCATCCACCTACCTGGTGGGCACTGAGGAGCGACATTTCATGTATATTTCATGGCAAGAAATCTTCTCTTGAATTTGTGGAACCAACTGACCAAATGCAAAATCTAGGATGGTCTGGTGCACCGATGCTCCACGTCCTACAATGAGTCGGCACCGCAGGGTTCCGGAGATGTGGCAACATGTTGAGCGAGGTGAACCTCACCATGCCTCACCCTTCACGTTTCAGCTACCTTTCAGCTACCTGCTAAGGCAATTCCTGGATACCTACTACGGCCACTCTGGCCCCGTCTACAGAGTCCGATGCAATCCATTCATGCCAGGAAACCCAGCATGGATCAAACAGCCGTTTCTAGAATGTTTTTGATTGTGTTTGTTGGATGTGATGCTAATTTTTTGTTTTTTTGCTCCAGAAGTCACCACCTGGCTGAACATAAAACCAGATGATTATCCAGATCAGAGGGTTGCTCCCAAACCATATCAAACTTATGGAGGGATCTGCTCCCAGCTCGGACATGGGTGGTCCTTCAAAAGAATCCGTAGCAATAGACGGGTTTGATATGGTTTGATGATGTTTGATGTACGACCCCGGCAGGGTCGTTGGTTGGGGATTTCAGTGCTTCTTGTGTTGTCTTAGTAGTGATTACAGGTGGACATTTTCGGTAGAGTTTTTTGTTTGTGTGGGGGGGGGGCAGGGCGTGCCAATAATTCAGCGTTGAATTTCTTTCACATCATGTTTCTGGATCAAAACCAGCAGATTGAATGGGTAGTGAGCGCGCTACAACAAAATATAAGGATATAAAAGGCTGATGTGCTGGCCAGCAATGGCGCACCAGCACACGATGCACCGCCATGAACGGATTCAGGTCCCACGCGTTCCTGACATGCTCGGCCGCCGCAACCTTAGCACCCATTTTTATTTTTGCAGCTGGACATTGGGATATCTTGGAGTTGGGTTGTTTTCGCCCACCCATGCCCAACCTATACATTTTGGATTGAGAGTGGGACGCTGTGGAGGGCTGAATTTACGATGTTTTTTTTTAAAATTTCTATACCTGAGAACTCCAAATGTATGGAAATTTTTGCCGATTTAGGATTTCGGCAGAATTTTCAGATTTCGCTCTTAAAAACGGCTTTCGGCGGAATTCCATTATTGGAGACCAATTTCGGCGGAATTGATTGTTGAATGTTTGCCCTAGTAAAGTCAGAAAACATGTCGGCAAATTTCGGCGGAATTGCCGGCAATTTCGGCGGAATTACCCGGACTCAGCTTTGGTTACAAATATGCACAACCCATGAAAACCCTATTTCGGCAGAATTGAAAATTGTCGGCAATTTTTTTTGTTTTCGGCAAACATTTTAGAATTCGGCGATTCCTGTGCTGAAATGTAATTTCGGCAGAAGTTCCCAAAAAGGATTCCCTATATGTATTTCCAATGTTTCCATAAAATCACTGACTGAAGGGTTATCCCTGAACAATCCTTTACACATACATAAAATAGTAAAGGTGCAAATAAGGTGCATCCCTGAGTCTTATATTCTCTTCATTTCTTGAGAATTATGAACAAACCTGTTGCAAACATTTTTTTTCGTAACATATTTTGACAATACCTTGAAGTAAAACATCTCTCTCTCTCTCTCTTCCGATCCTTGTCTTCCTGGACATATCAGCGTAAATCAGGTCTGTTGTGAAAAGAACTGTGTATAGTGTGCATTCTAAGTGATTGAACTGGATACGTATCACAAGTTAAATTGAGCACTCCACAACGCCCCTTTCTGTTTGGATTTGAGTTCTTCGGTTTGAAATCGGATTCTTTACTTCAGTTTCATTATCGACAACCTTTCTGTTGTTCTCATTTGTTTGAAGACTTTGGTCTTCTTTGATGCAGGTCCGCACAGACGGTCACACAAACAGACACAAACAGACACAAACAGACACAAACACACGCACACACTTCAGCACAAGACTTGGCGACACATTGTTTCAATGGTTGTACCAGTTGTACCGTAATCCTTCCATTCCTTCCCTCGTTTCGCCATGTTTCGCCCTTTCGTTCAGGACTGGACTATGAAACTCTGGACCACGAAACCGCCACATGGTCATCCACCTGAGACGTTGGTGCCCCAATTTCTGGAGCATCCGAGTTTACATTTTTCTAACACTTAAATCACGTGTTTCTAACATTTTCTAATTACGTTGGAGGCCGCAAATTGAAGAAGGTAATGTGAATCCTTCAAGGTTTCCCAATTTTGTATCCGAACGATTCTGGATGTTAGTCGGTCGTATACATGTTTTTCTTAATTCTCTACCATTCCGACTACATATTTTTCAGATTGCTTGAATTCACCATTCAGATTGGTGTTTTTTTCTCAAGGGGACTTCAAACGTAATGATTGACTCATCATCGAAGCACTGAGGCCATTGTTGACCTTCCAATCAACAGACCTCTATGATGCGGTAAACGATGCCACAGCCTCAACTGAGATTTCTGGCAAGGTATCCCAAGGTATCCCAAGGTATCCCAAGGTATCCCACCGCAGGGTCAAAAATGGTCAAAATGGATCAAACTTGTTTGTGAAACTGTGAAACCATTTGAAAATTGATCTAGATAATCTAGATATATCTAGATATCCTATGATATCCTCAATGTGATCTGATCTATCCCACCCCACTCATATCGTTTGGATCTATCCATTGGGGGAGACAACCGGCCTTGGCCAAGGTGGTTTGGGCGCCACAAAACTCAACATCCTTTGCAGCGGCGATGGACGATGGCCGCATTGAGTTGTGGGATCTTGCGGAGAAACCGCTGGGGAAACTCAGATCGATGACAACCAAGGGTAGATGCTCAGAGGGAGCAACAGCGTCCGCTGGAGAAACAATTAGTTGAGATACACAAAAGGTGGCCCTTTTGAGGAACTTGAGTGTACTGCGAAGCAACAGTTTCTTTGCGAACTGTTCTGTAGGAATCTTCAACTGAATCTTCAACCGAAGCGAAAACAATTTTGAAGATTGTGACGTCATTGCCAGAATGTGACGCCATGATATGTCATGACATGCCACAATGGCGTTGAGATGTTGGATCATTGTCAGGCTCGATCCAATTGTGGTGCACTACCCACAGGCTCCGGTGTTTTTACCGAAATGACGTCGCAGACTCGCCGACCGAATCAAATCTAGAGCAGAAGGTCTCGTCCAACTTTGAATTTCAGATTTGGTGAGGAATGATTTCTGTTCTATTATCTTCTTGTATGATCCTTTCGTTGGTTTCAATATGAAGGGCTGAAATCTCCATTTCGATGAGATGAGGTTCATGTGATTCATGTGCTCATTTCATTTCTGTTAGTTGGGTGGTTTCCACGGCTCGTCAAACATGACCGCCAGGAAATTTCAATCTTTTGACAGCAAAATCACTGAGGAACGGATATATGGATGGTGGATTGTCCATTGCATTCCGTTGCTGCTATCAACAATAGCTGATAAAATATGAAACAATGATTTACATTGGATGTTCGTCCCATTGTAGTACAGTATGATACAGTACATATCATGAAACATCATGATGTATCAATGTATCATGGGTTTTAACCCAACCTCTAAGATCCTTACATGACCAGTGGCTCTGGTGACAGGCTGAGAAGCCACAAAGGAGACGCACCTGTGTCCGCTTCTCCCCCAACTCACCAGTGCTGGTGGTGGGGATGCCTAGTCGCTCTGAGCTCTGCATTTTTGTGGCAGGTTTGCTAACTCAGTGCATCATGAACCGAGTACATCACCTAGTTGCTTTTTGTTTCGGTGCTTTTCCAATCTTTTCCATTTACTGTAGCTGGGTCAGACATCATAAATCTACATTTACCCAGGTAACATGCTGTTCACATACACAAATTCACCCAGGCTGGGGATGATCAAGGCAGCGTCGATGTGATGAGGATGTACAACACCAACCAGTGCGGCGGCCAAGGGCATTGATGCTGATCCAGCTGGACAGGGGCTGTGGCAAAATGATCCAAGATGATCCAAGTAAACCATGGGGACTATTCCGGAAGCCACTCTGTATTGATGAGCCCCATCAGCTGTTGTTGTGGCGACCAGAGAGTCTCTGGTGGATCAACATTTGCAATGGACACACCAGGTCCTACTACTCGGACCAGGAGCAGCAGGATCGACTAGCGGCAGTCATGGTGAAAAAGAGGTAGACTCTGCCAAAGTTTCACCTATTTGTACAGATACCAGCTTGCACATCGTGTGTGTTTGAGATTTATATGGCACCCAAACAATAGTACCTCTTTGACTTGAAAAGGAATGGCAAGCTGCAGTTGTAAAACGAATCAGTGGTCGGCTTGGCTAACGACTAGGCCCTGTGTCACATTCAGATGTACTTCTGAGGGTTGCAGGAAATGCAGCATCAGAGGCTGGTGTTTTTTTAATGCTGTTGGTGCTTGCTCACTTCTCAAACCTGATTGGCCTGGTGCGACAGCAACCCTCTTTGCATGATGAGCTCGCAAAAGTGCGGCGAAAATGTGCCAGCCCACACCACCGTGCGCGATAGTCGATTTCGGAACAGTCACATCAGATCAAGTGGATCCATTGAACGGAATGTGGACTTTACTTGATAACGATACAGAAGTGGTGGGTAAATCTGACTCTTCGAATGGACAGTTGTGGGTCCATTGCTACCATTTGGTACCCCATTTTTGGTCACAGTCAGTGCCAGCAAGCACCTCAGCCATAGTTGCTTCAGCAAGTCACCCGAAAGCCAGCCTCCAACTCCCCCCAAAAAGCATCAGAAAGCCATAAGCATGCAAGAATCTGCAAGAACATCACTGGGACATCCCTAGGAATCAACTTTCCCGACTTTCCCGTTCAATTCTTCGGAACATTTTTTGAAGCCGGCACCAATGGCGGCTTCTGGTTTCGCTGCAGAGGACGGTGTAAAGTTGGATTGTTTTGGATGGTTCCAGCTCAAAAGGAAGAGAAAGTCCATGGGTCCAGGATTTTTCTTGCGCCATCGCTTGGGTTTTGCTTTGACCGAATCTGGTTTGCAGGCATCCAGGCTCAAAGGGTGTCGGGCAACGCTCGAAATATGATTTCAGACACATGTAGCAAGAAATCTTTTAATTTTGTAGAACAGAGACTGTGAAATCGAAACTTGGCAGGTCAGCTTAGACCGTGCATGTGGACTCCAGGGATCATCTTTTGAGAAAACCAAGCTCTGTGCACCTCCTACTGGATTATGCACCCATACTGCCATACTGGAGGATGGTCATCATTCCATCATTAGGGATTTTTTTAAATGTCCGTTAAACAGATTCCCAGTGTGGATGACCATATTGTATCATGTTCTGATGGCTGGAGTGACAGCTAAATGTGACCAGCATGCCTTGATGTAATGGCTGCCGCTCAAACTGTGCGAAGTGGGCGAAGTTTCCAGCGTGGAGAGGGACAATGGTATTTGTGGCTAGCAAGGATCCTGTTTGCAAGTACATTGCTCCTGAAGCACAAGCACGCGCAGCTTGACAAGAGAGAACCTGTTTGGTTCCAGATCAAAAAAATAGTGAAGGGAGAGTATCACTGCATTAGGTACTTCGAAATATCCAAGAACTTCAGCCAGATGAAGATCGGCAACAACACATTGTTGGCCCTTGCGGCTGTGGCAGTCCATTTCCGCCGCCCTAATGCCCTAATTGAAGGATCGTTCCCAGCTGTGCTGAGGCAGCAAGTCTTGAGGCCTTCAATTGGATGTCCCGCAGCTGTGAGTAACTTGCACCGGAGCTGGTTAGAGGAAGTCAAGCCTCACTGAACCACATAGGTTTCCTGTTTACAACTGATGTTTGAATATGTTCGGCCTTGTCAGATTTGAAGGACACATTTTGATTAAAGATTGTACACAGCTGGTTCGCTTGCGGATTCAGGTACTGAGGATTTTTGGTCCGCTGCGCAATGGTTACTTGGAGCAAATCTCTCCACGGAAAATTCCACACGCCACCTGGAATAGCTGGGCCGAACTTGGCCACGTCTTGGTGATGCCGTCTCTTGTAGGCTGCACAAGTACAAGGCCATGAAGAGACACTGCTTTCAAGACTCTCCACATAGTTTGGAAACATAAGTGATTCAGCAATTGGGACACGCAGGGTTGGAAAATAGATTTTCAGTGCCAACATGGACGTGCAGATGCCTCGGCCACATGACACAGGACACATGGATCCATACTTTCTACCCAGCATTTCCACCTTTTGATCTGGAATTAAGGATTTGAAGGCAGTTTGTATGGCTTCACGGAAGGTCGGCTTTCCGCACTTTGAATCGAATAACGAATCCAAGGTTTGCGCTAATGTATTTCATGGTGGACTTTGGTAGCTGCTGCTTCTTCGCCTGCAGTAGCATTTGGATTCGTCAAAGACACTTGGCACTGCTCTGGAATGTGACCAAGGGCTTGACAGTTAGAGGGTGCCATGATGATTGTCCATGATGGTTTAGGTCCGTTGTAATGGATCTATTGAATGTGGATAGATTCGCAGCAAGGGCGTGCCTCTGCATACAAGTCCTTGAAGACTTGAAGTCATTGGAGAAGTTGCTTCCCCAGCAAAAGCGACAAGACACTGCTTTTTGCCATGAACTTTTGGCCTTTCCACGCCCTCATAGGGAAATGGCTTTCCACCCATGCATGCCGCAGAATCAATCGTTTTTGTGATTTATGTGGGGACGAGTCAATACCTGGTCTCATAGACACCATCTTTAGCGAAATTTTGGTTTTCACCAACCATACCAGGGTTTTGACCCATGGCCGCCACTGGCCCTTACCCATGTGATGCAGCGAAACTGCCTTGCCATTGCTGGCAGCAAAGGCCTAAGTCATTGCGGAAGGTCACTGAGCTGTTTGTCGGCGCTGCTGGCGAGCTGGGGCTTCTTTGCGTATCGCAGCTGCGAATCTTAGAAACCCTTCGTATAGGTCATCAATAGGTCATCATTTGATGCCTTCTTTGGATTTCTTTGGCCTTTTTCGGAGAATTTTAGATCTATTTTTTCCAGGAAAATCTTAGATATGATGCAAGTTTTGTCATGAAGGGTGGCCAAGTTGAGACATGCAGACACTTGCCTGAATTGGGCAGAGTTCTGGTTAGAACGCTTATTTTGATATCCAAATAAATCCACCAGGAGGCAAAGAACATTTTCTAGATGTGTAAGATTTGTTGAGGTTTTTTTCATTTTTTTAAAATCATTTTCTTAATTTTCTTTATTTTTCCCGAATGCGGAGCAAGGGTTCCCGTTTCACTCTGGGGGTTGAGCGTGTGTTCGCTCGACGTTGCGCAACCGTTCGCAACCGTCCGCAACCGTCCGCAACCGTCCGCAACCGTTCGCAACCGTCCGCAACCGTTCGCGCGAGGTCGCTATGGCCGTGCCTATGGCAAGTTCTGCAGCAGGGGTCACTTTTGGAGGTTTCACATGTTGCGTAGCCTCGTTTCGCGTGGCAGGCATGGCACTTCGTGACATTCAGACGTTTTCGTAACGTGTCGAAAGTCTTTTTGCGTGGCAAGCGCAATACTTTTGCGACGTTTTCAGAAGATGAATTCCAGTTTTCGTGGCAGGCGCAGCACTTTGGACGTGACCGTCTTCATTTTGTGTGGCAGGCGCAGCACTTTAGAGGAGTCGTGTTGCGTGTTTTTGCGAATCGCATTTGCAGGGCTGCCTCAAGTGGTGGCAACGTGCAAATTCCATGGCAGGCGTTGCATTTTGTGAGATGTGCTGAAAATTGACGGAAGCCTCGCACGAAACATCGGTTTTGAGGTAGCAAATTTTGAGGTTCACAAGAAAACTCGTAGGAAGACATCGATTCTGAAGCTGCAAAGTGTGAAAATTGGAGGAAGTCTCGCACGAAATCTCGTTTTGATGCTCCAACATGTCTCGTCCTGAGTCTCTGGTTTTCCTGTGGCCTCGCCGTGTCTATGGGGGAAGCTGCAAAACCTATCCTGTTTCAAGGTTTCAAAGCCAGTTGTAACGCGGTTTTGCGTGACAGGCGCGGCAGTTCGTGACATTTTCACGTGTCTGCGAACGTGTCGAAAATCATTTTGTGTGGCAAGCGCAATACCTTTGCGTACTCTACACTCTACACTCTACACTCCTCACTTTACATGTTACACTCCGCACTGTGCACTCCACACTCTACACTCCTCACTCTACACATTACACTCCACACTCCGCACTCCACACTCTACACTTTACACTCCACACTCCACACTACACTTTAAACTCCACACTCCACTCTATACTCCACACTTTACGCTCCCCACTCCACACTTTACACTTCACACTCTACGCTTTACCCTCCACACTCTACACATTACAATTTACACTCCACACTTTACACTTTACAATCGTAACTCTCACTCCACACTTTACACTCCACACTCCACACTCTACTCTTTACACTTGACACTGTACACTCCACACTACAGTGCGCACTCCCCACTTTACACTCCATACTTTACACTTTACACTCGACACTCCGCGCTTTACACTCCACGCACCGCACTTTAGATTTTACACTTAACACTTTACACTCCACACTGCGCAGTTTGTACTCCACACTCTACACTATACACTCCACACGCGACACTTTCCACTTCACACTTTACACTCTACACTCCTCACTTTACACTCCACACTCAATACTTTACACTTTACACTTTGCACTCCCCACTCTGCACCTTGCACTTTACACTCCACACTCCACACATTACACTCTACACTGCACTCTACGCATTACACTCCAGACTCCACACTTTACACTTCCACCCCGCATTTTAGAATCCACACTCCGCACTCCACACTGTACACTTTACACTCCACACTCCACACATTACACTTTACACTTTGCACTCCGCACTTTTCACTTTACATTTCAAACGCCACACTGGACACTTTACACTTTACACTTTCTTTACGCTCCACACTTTACACTTTACAATCCACACTCTACACTTTACACTCCACACTCTGCACTGTACACTTTACACTCCACACTTTATACTCCACACTCCACGCTTTACACTCTCTACTCCACACTCTACACATCACACTGCACATTCCATACTCTACACATTACACTTTACAATCCCCACCGCGCACTTCGGACTTCACACAACACACTCTACACTTTACACTCCGCATTCCACACTACACTGTGCACCCCACACTCTGCACTCTATACTCCACACTTTACACTCCACACTCCACACTTTACACTCCACACTCTACACTTCACACTCCGCAGTCAACACTTTACACTTTACACTCGACACTTTACACTTTACACTCTGCACTTTACACTCTACACTCCACACATTACACTCTACAGTCCGCACTCTACACATTACACTCCAGACTCCACGCTTTACAGTTACACCCCACACTTTACAATCCCACTGCGCACTTGTACTTCACACTCCACACACTACACTTTACACTCCACACTCTACACTTTACACTCCACACCCGACACTAGTCTATACTCCACACTTTACACTCCCCACTGCACACTTTACACTTCACACTCTACGCTTTACACTCCACACCACTCCACACTCCGCACTCCACACTTTACACTTTACACTCTGCACTCCGCACTCTACGCTCCACGCTCTACACCCCACACTCCACACTTTACACTCTGCACTCTAGACTCCACACTTTACACTTTACACTCCACACTCCGCACTTTACACTCTGCACTTTACACTCTGCACTCCACACTTTTCACTTTACACTCCACACCCTACACTTTAGACCTACACTCTACACTTGACACTTTACACTCCACACTTTAGACTTTACACTCTACACTCCACACCCCACACTTTCCAACGCGCACATTGCACTTTACACTCCACACTCCACAATCCCCGACCCACTTCACACTATACATATGCATTCGCCACTCAACACTCCAATTTCTTTACACCCCACACTTTGCACTCCACACTCTTCCGCCTTCCACAGTCTACAGTGCACTGGTACGGTAGCAGGGGAAAACTGTACAAGACTGTTCAAATAACTTGTTTCACAAAAGTGTTCTACGTGACTGCATTCGGGTTCGTGGGCTGCATCTTGTTTAAAAGTTTGTTTAGTGTTGTTTAGGGGGAGTAAGGCCACCAGGAAAACCTGTAGAAATCTAAAGAAACCTTGCATTAATGATTCCATGTAGCTTGTGAGTTTTCATTGGCAATATAGAGAGATGTCCAGGGGGTAGTCCATCAACAATGCAAGAGTTTGTCGAATCATGTTGAATCAGCAGGAGGGTCCAGATTGGGAAGAGTGGACAGCAGCAGGGAAGTGATGGAAATCCCTTGTTGCGGCGTTGAGATCTTCAGACTGGAACAGAGCAGGGGCACAAGGAAAATTATAGAAACATTCTGTGGAATTAGTGGCATTTAGATTTCTATAGTGGAGTGTAGTGGGTTTTAGATTTCTATATTTATTCGTTGTGGATATTGCAGCGCATTTTGCAAAGAAACTCTCAAATGAAGAGGGCAACAAAGGGTTTGTATGAATTCAGCAGCTGCTGAGGATGTGTGAGGCCTGTTTCGTCCTGTTTCATTCAGAGTGTGTCCAAGGTATGTGCGAGCCTTTGCCTTCGACCTTCGATTCTTGGAACTGAATTTAAAATTATGTGTTTCTTGTGCTTGCTGTTTGCTTGCAGTGCATGTTTGGTTGTGAATTTTGAAACCCAAGATAACCCAAACATGATTTTTTTAAAAACATATTTGCAGTCCAACAATTGTTGCTGATTCCGTTTCATCGCAAATATGAACCTCTGAAATATTGCTTTAAATTTCGATTTGTGTGAAAAAATCTTGAGGACATTCTTTTTCTAACGCTGGTGATACTTTCTGATGCTTTGTCGTGCTTGCCTCGGATCAAAGGATGTGTTGGCATTTTTGGCGTCATTGCCATGCTATGCTTCTTTGTATTCGTCGTGTCCACAGTGATTTGGTGGCTGCTGGTAGAGTGTGATGCTTGTCAGTTGGAAGCGACTGGTCTTGGAGATGATGATTCTGGATCTTGCGCGTTGATTGCCAATCCTCTGACATGGGGATGTTGCCGCCTCTTCTCTCAGCTGCTTCTCGCCATATGCTTGGGTAGGTTGTAGCAAATGGTGTCGCCTCTCACCACTGGTTGTTTTGTCATGGATTTACTGATTTACATGTTTCAGAGTTTAAGTCCTTCACCTCCTGTTGGGGAATGATTCAAATTATCGACCACCGACAACGGACGCTACACCAACGACCTGCCTGTGGATCCGTAGGTCCCCGGACCCAGGTGCTGCAGCCTGGAGGCCTGGCCCAGTGGTAGAGGAAGCGCAGAGGACTTGGCTGAGAGGGGCTACTTGGAGGAAACCCCGAAAACTGGAGGAAAAATTAGATGGTGATTTTCTCAGTCATCGACTGTTGAAGATAGCTGGTGTTGATCAGGTAGGGAAACGGACTGATCTCTGATTGCCACACGAAGTGCAACTCAGCAAAGGTCAGCGCAGCCTTTTCCAAAAGTCGGGCTGCAAGTAGCGCAGCAAATGGCTCCAAACCCGTAGGGGAACCCAGTTGCCCTAGAAAAGGGGGTTTCGGGCCCAAACATATCAGGCACATGTATTGTTATGTGCTCCAATGGCAATTGAGAGGCACTCAATTCACACTGGTGAAAGTGGAAAAAGAAAAGTTGGGTGAAAACTGGAGCTAAAAGCTACAAAGGAAATCCAACCAGCCATCTTCAAAGGTCGCGCTCCCAGTCCTGTGGTGCCATCGCAGTCCCCAAAGTCTGGCAGCAGCGGGTACAGAACTCACGCTGGTGGATTCTTGTCGATGCTTGGCCTCTCACGCAGAAGTAATCTGCATGCCAGCATCTGCCGTGTTGGGTGAAGTAGACGGGTCGTTGGACTCGGTGGTGCGCATTGAGCTGGGAGTTGGTCTCCTGCTCAGCCAGTGCTCTTTGATGTTCTTCTCGAGGAATATGCGTAGCTTCAATGCTGTCCACCAATTGTACGTACTCCATCTGGGTCACGAAATCACCCATCTTGATGTCAGTTTCGACACCTGCATCCACGAAAGTCGGAGCTGGCCTACTCACTTCTTGGAAGTCTCCGGCTTCAGCTCGTCTTTCGCCAGTCGCTCTCCACCATGTAGTTGGTAAAGTCCATGTGGCCAAATGGCCCCTCATCCACCAGTAGCCGAAGAGCAAGATCATGATCGTGGTGATGAGGATCGGGACAAGGTTGAAGTTCAGGTTGATGAAGTAGTAGTGATTGGGGTTGTACTGGATGTCGATCTCCTCAGCGCTGCAGGTTGCCATCATACACATGGAAAACATTGCAGCCAGTGCTCGAGAGGGCTTCTTCTCGGCATACATCAGGGCGTTCTGTCTTCGTTGCTTCGGGTCCTTCTTCTTCGATGCTTCAAAAGTGATGTCACTGGTCAGCTTGACCATATGGGTTCGTAGTCTGTCGGCCAGGAGTTGGGCCGCGCTTTCCTTCGTCAACCCATCTGAGTACTGTCTCTCAGATGACACCCACATAGTCGCCCCACCGCAGCAACAGAGTTTGTCTTGAGTAACAAGTACTTCTATTGTTGTTCTTTTATCAGTTCCACTCGTTGCTTGCAACTCGGGCTTGGTCAGCAAGTCATAGAGGGCCTTGGCGTCCACCACCAGCTTTGGAGCATGCACCAATCGTGCCGTCTCAACCTGGTCCAAAGGTAGCCACGGCTTCCAGATAAGGTTCCAGAAGGTGCTCGTAAAGAGCAGCGAGTCTGCTGCCTCGCTCGCGGCCTGACTCTCTGCCGCCAAAGTTGATCGAGCGATCCGGGACAACTTCCACGATCGCCAGTCGATGACGTTGTAATGCCCTTCAGCTCCATTGGCGACGTCCTTGTGGACCATCAGGAGGATGAAACCACCCTGGCTCGAATGGTCATTTCGGCATCCGAAGGAGGCATCGGAAAAGGCTATGAAGGTCACCTCGTCCTTGCCACCCAAGTGTCTGTACTCAAGGCCGATGTCTGAGTTGGCCTTGGCATACCTCAGTGCTTTATTCATTGACTCCAAAGTCTTTGTTGTTGCACTGGTTATCTCCCCAGCAAGCAAACTTGTGGTGGCCTGAAGGTGGGGGGCTGTTTGGGTAGCCGGCCAGGCTAGTGCACCTAGGAGACCACGTAGCGCGGTGCGCTCATTCTCCGTCACAGGGAGGTCTTTGTTCCGGCGCTCCTTGGGTATGGTGATCGGCTTCTGCCGTTTGAAGTAGTCACCTTGGAAGATCTTCCAATGGCCATCTGAAGTTTTGGAGATTTGGGCTCCACAGTACGTGAGCTCCTCCTTCTCGGACCCAGAGTGCCACTCGCGGAACTTGAAGACGTTCTGCAGGTTGTTGATGATCTCCAGGGTCGCCGGGTCCTCAGTGTTGTAGGCCCCGAAGAGGTCGTCCACGTGGATCCCAAAAACCGCCAGCAACTTCGGTTCTTGTTGATCTTCAGCTCCAAGTTGAATTGGTCGGTCATAGGCCAGGAAAAGACAACTATCCAACGGATGTTGAATGATTGCACCTTTGCCAGTCTCCAGGATTCGGGTGACTGCCTCATCAAACCAGGCTTTCGGTGCATCCGCCAAACCGTACATTGGCTTTGTCAATCTCATGACCTGCCCATGATCTCCTTGGAGCCCCAGGATCTGTTCAGCTTCTTTGGGAAGCTTGATCCACAAAACCCTGTCTGAGTTGGGGTCATACTTCTTTCCTTGGAGGAAGGCGGTCGTGATGTCGGCGGTGAAGGGGGTGTAGCCCAGCATAGAGGTGATGCTCAGGATCAGGCTTCTTGACAATCTCGTCAAAGTCGGTGAAGCCGTTGTCAGTGATCCATTCAGAGCGTCAGGATCCTTGAATCCTTGGCATATTAAGCGAGCTTTGGCTCGGCGCCCACCATTGTCATCCTTCTTCCAGTTCAGGATGAACTTGGCACGTATCGTGCGGGGGCGTTTGTCCTCCGTCATGGTGTCGAAGACCCAAACATCGTTTTCGAAGAAGGATTTCAGTTCTTTCTCCTTAGCCTCAAGAAAGGCCAGTCTGTCCGCAAGGGACATTGATCGCTCACTGAGCTGCTCGTGCTGCATGTAGATGGTCTCGGTGTTCTGGCTCTTGTCGTAGAAGTCCTTGTAGGCTTGTCGTCTCCAAGAGGTATGGATCTTGAAGCGGGTGTAGCCCGTCCAATCGTAGCCCTGAAGTCTGGTGCACGGTGTGCTCCTCGTCCACTTGTCGCGGATCACCTGGCCATTCGACAGCTTGGTGATGCGCTGCTTGGTCAGGTACTTCAGGTCGATGGGGCAGTTCTCCGCCGTGGGGGTGAACTCGCAGTCACGAGCTCCATAGTGGCGCTTGGTGAGGTAGTTGCCTTCCAAGATCCATTCATCTTGAACCTGTCCAAGTTGTAGGAAGCCATCTTCCACAGTCCAGCCAGATGGGAGCACCATGCCCTTTTGGACAACATCCACATCGCAGGCAAACTCAAAAGTTTCTTTGGAGTTCTCTCCAACTGGTCTCTCTGAGTAGGGCGTTGGCCTGTTCTCAGGCGCATTTCTCGCAGGCCCATAGCGCGAAGGCTTCTTGAAGAGCAGGGATTCCTGCTGTTCATATCGGCTTCATTGAGCAGCAAAGGTCTCTCCGCCAGCAGGAGCTTGATACAGTCGTTGTTGATCAGGTGGTACTGGAAGGTGTGACTCCGTCAGGGACGGCACAACAGGTTCTTCCAGTGGTTCTGGCTCCATCACACTCTGCACCGTTGGTGATACCGGTAGATCTTGTACTTCTTCTCCAGGAGCGAGAGCTTCTCGTCGATCTTCAGGAGGAAGTGCTTGATGTTGATGTCCAGGAGTCGAAGTAGAGGAAGTCGGTCTCGCCATTGCCTTGGAAGCCAAACCAGGAGCAGCACTATAGGACCTGTAGGTCCAGCAGAACCAGAAGGTGGCTCTTCATCAGGCGGTTCTCCAGCTCCTTCATGATCTGAATCCAAAGGTGTTGTAGGGGCGTATCCCTCCGACATGTTGTCCACATCCACGATGAAAGTCGTAGTTCCGGTCCAGGTGTAGTGGAGTGCGCGATCTGCATGAGGTAGTCGCCACTCATCTCGGAATCGTGGATGTTCTGGATTGGGCCCACTGCGCCTCACATCGGTGATGCGCTCATCCTTGAAGCGGTGGACCGGGATGTCCATCTCGGCAGCAGGAACATAGAGCTTCTGCCTGGGCACGTTGTGGATCCGTGTCCAAACCTTGCCATCGTCACTGATTTGCCATCGATCAGGTGGTAGGTCTTGCACTGTCAGAGGATCCATGTCTCTGTCATCTTCTCCCTCCTCCTCATCGGTGTCTACCTCGTCACGTCGTCTCTTGTTGGTCTTGCTCAAGTCCACATAGTGTGTGACACCTCGGTTTCGGATGTGTTGGAGGGCATCCTTTGCAACGACCAAGGGGTCAGTGGCCTTCTCAGTGAGGTCGATGGCAGCTTGTGCAGCTTTAACATGTTCTGGAGCCGCACGAAGTAGGACCGTCCCATGCCCAAGCCAGTAGATGTCGGAGTTGGGGCCAGATGCACCTGCCTCACGCATGATGACAGTGGCTGGTCCACGCCACCTCAACTTTGCATTTGATCCTGCAGGGGCATCTCTCCAGTAGTAGCAGAGGTCGCCCGTGTTCAAGAGCGTCTGCTGGCCCATGAACTTCCGTAGAAGGGCCCGCCGTAAGCGGCGGTCCATGTCGGCCTCTGAAGTGGCCTTCACTGCCTGCTGCTTCAGCCTGAGCTTCTCCATGAAGGCCTCGGAAGGGTCCAGCGTCGCTGGGTTTTCAGCTTTTGTTCTTCCATGAGCAAACCTGGCACATGGGGTGTGTATCCCAAGGTCCATTGGACTGGGCTGAAGCCACAGACATTTGGTGTTCTGTTGATCTGGGGGACCACGTAGTTCAACGCTGTGATCAGCGCATCAGGCGAGCTTGCAATGCTCGGGTTGCCGTCCAAGAAGAGGTTCAGGGCTCTGATGGCGACGTTCCAAGATCGCCAGCCTGGTGTGGGACTGGCCAGGGCTGATCTGGAGTTGTACTCCGTTCTCGGTGCACCATTGTCGCATAGCATCCGAAGACCAAGCTCTGTGCTCGTCCACCTGCAGGATGCGCATTGGTCCGAAGTTACGGATCCATGCGCGCTCCAAGTGCTTGATGAACTCCTCAGTCTTCTCGCCACCACGCAAGTGCCTAGCAGCCAGCAAGCGAGTGGTGCAGTCAGACATCATCAGCACTGGTTGTTGTTGACGTTGTCCAGGAATCGTCACCCGCAGGGTATCAGCTTGAACTCGGTGATTGAACTGGGCGTCCTTCGGCATGCTGGAGACCGGAACACCTGTTGGTCGTCGATGTAGGTCACATAGACTGCACTCATGTTTGTGTGCAGCTTCAATCACAGAGCTCGAAGCGTTCTTGTTCTTGAGCAGCCTGATGAGCTCGTGTTTCGTCGGATGTCCCAGGTTGCGGTGCAGCCGCAGCACAGTTCTTTTGGCCTTCTGCCAGTCTTCATCATTCAGCCGATTCAAGACACCTTTGGCTGGTGCCTGTTCAGGCTCGTCCGCAGGGCTCTCATCCATGTTGTCCGGCAACTCGACGGCCTCGATCTCCTCAGCAACGGGGTCGTTGGACTCGTTGAAGCCAAAAGCGTCCTCGCCCTTGTACTGGAAGATCCGCTCGATGGCCTCTTTGAAGTGGTAACACATTTGAAGTTGGTATTCTCCGGCGGCAGCAGCTCGGGATCCAATCCCTGGGGAAGTACCCTCGATGGGGAGATGATCATGTCCACCTCGACAAGGGGCAGTCAACTCCATGGCCATGTCCATGTCGGTGCATCGCAAGGCGGTGCCCTTCTTGATGGGGATGTAGTCACCGTTTTCATCTGGTAAGACACATCCATATTCACATTGGTCAAAGAGGGCGTCATGGCCATCCACCGCCATCAGTGTGGGAGTTCCCCAGCTGCGTGCATTCTTTGGTTGCTCTAGGCCGGCATGCCGGCCTTCTCGTTGTTGTTTCTGAAAGGCACGTTTGCACATCTTGAGGTGGGTGTTCTCCTCATAGTCTCGGTCAGCCTGGAGGGCAATCTGCTTCTCCGGGGTGTCGATGTTGAGGTTCTGCAAGGAAGACCAAACCGTGCATGGTGGGGCCAACCATACAAACTCAGGACACGTCGCGTCCAGCAGCTTCAGGAAATCTCGTCGGTGGTCAGCTCGGGTGAAGTCCCAGCCGGTGTTGTAGTCAAAGCTCATAGTTTCCCAGCCAGCTTCAGCCATGACAGCGCTGAGATTTGCACTGCCACTGTAGACTTCCCAGAAAACCTTACGTCCAGCCTCATGGGCTATCAAGGCTTGTTCCACCACGGTTCTTCTCTGCTTGGAGAACTTATTGAAGTTCATGTTCAGGGATTTCACCAACTTGTTGGTGATGGGTCTTCTCACCTCAGAGGGATCGTCCCCAATTGCAATCTCGGGCTCGTACATGTTGAGGTCGATCTTGTCGATGTCCTCGTCCATCTGGAAGGCAGTCTCAGGTCCAGCGCGGTTAGGCCTGGCCAGGTACTCGTGGATGTCGATGTAGTCGGAGAGGTCCTCGTAGTTGGTGATGGCGTTGAAGGTCTCGTCAGTCACGTAGTCAAAGTCCACGTTGTTGCCATCAGGGTCATTTTCGACTCCATCGTCCAACCTCAGGAGAAATTCTCCTTTCTCACCTTGGGTGACGGTTGTCCAGGGGCCATCACCAATCGACATCTTGTTGGTGTCGTAGTCCATCTTCAGCTTCAAGGCCTGTAAGATTGGCCTTCCGACCAAAAGCGGCGTGTTGCCTTCGACCACAAAGCATTCCATGTAGCCAGTCCTTCCACCAATGTAGACTGGTAAGCGGACTGACCAGTCAGCTTGTCTCGAAGTGTCACCTCCAAAACCAAAAGTTTTGTTGGTCGGCATGAAGAGGAACCGGTCAGGGCTGAGGCCACGACCACGCATGTAGTCCACGATGCGCATCAAGACATCGTGACCACAGACAACTGAGCTTGCACCTCCATCTTGAAGTCCAAACCATCCAGCAGGGCCCAGGTGTGGTACTAGGTCCTTGTTTGGCCATGTCGCGCACCATCATCGCCGATCCATCGTTGCCCTTGGCCTTCTTCGACGGAGAAGTTGAGGTAGGAGAGGAAGTAGGGCTCTGCCGTGTCGTAGATTGCGACTTCGAAGGTGAGTTCTGGGGGCAATTAGCTGCCCAGTGTCCAACTTGGCCACATTTGAGACAACGTGTGGCGTTGGCTCGCTGTGGAATCTGTCCTCCCTTGTTGACCCAGGTGCTGGTCTTGTTCTTGGACTTGGTCTTGGACTTGGATTTTCCACGGCCTTTGGCCTTTGGAGGTCTTGGGCCTTGTGACATCGGGGAACCAGCAGTAGATCCACCTCCATCAGTCAGGGCCACAACCGGGAAGAATCCTCGAGAGGCTTTCAGGTGTGCCATCTGGCGACGGGCATCAAGATACGTTGCAAACGCATCTTCATAGTTTTGTTCGGCCTCCCAGTAGGTCTCGTCGGAGACATCAACCTCATCATTGGCGGCATAGGTCTGCTCCTCGTACTCGTCGTCCTCGTAGTAGGCATCCTCCCAAGGCTCATCGAACTCGGTGTCGTCGAAGTTCTCGTCGTAGACCATGTTAACATCCTCAGCCTCGTAGAAGTCCTCGGTGACGTAGCCTTGTTGTCGTCCTCGCCAACGGTTCGGCGATCCATAGCCTTTGCCACGCCAAGATCGGTCAGCATTCTTGCCCTTGTAGTCCTGCCCAAGCAAGAAGTACATTGCCTCCGTCACAGCCTTCTGCGCGTAGTCAGGAGCTCTTCCTTGTATGAGCTGCTTTTGTTCTTGCGATAGGCCAGCTCGACGAAGTAGTACCCAGCCAGCAACCTTGTCTGGCAAGGAGATTCCATGCTTTTCCAGTTCTGCCAATGCCTCGCGGTGCTCGGCCACATAGTTCAGAAGTGTTTGTCCTTCACGGCGTGAGGTGCCGTAGAAGAACTTCTCAAAGGCTCTTGGCATCTCAACTTGGTCATCATAATTGAACGTCTGATCCAATTGTCGAAGGATCAGATCGAATCCATCCTTGTCCTCGGAGGCCTTGTCGACCAGGTGCTCTATCTGGCGCCAAGCTATGCCAGTCAGGCTTGTCATCAAGTTGATGCATGCCTCCTTCTCCTTCTTCTGAATCTCCATCTTCCGTCGGTAAAGAGCTATTCTGGCTCTCCATTCTCGGTAGTCCTCTGGCTTGTTCGAGAAGACAGGGATGTAGGAGTCCTTGACGATGTCAACTCCAGGTGAAGGCGAAGAAGGGAAGCTCGAAGAAGACATTCTGCACGATGTAGGTCGCCCAAGCCAGCACAGCACGAAGAGCGTGAGGATCTCGACAGCGAAGTAGTGGGAGTGAAGCGTTGGGCTCGATGTAGTCAAAGTTCAGGATGAAGTTGTGGTAGTAGAGCTGGGTAGGGAGCCTGGAGTGGCTCCGCTACCAATGTTGATCAGGTAGGGAAACGGACTGATCTCTGATTGCCACACGAAGTGCAACTCAGCAAAGGTCAGCGCAGCCTTTTCCAAAAGTCGGGCTGCAAGTAGCGCAGCAAATGGCTCCAAAACCCTAGGGGAACCCAGTTGCCCTAGAAAAGGCGGTTTCGGGCCCAAACATATCAGGCACATGTATTGTTATGTGCTCCAATGGCAATTGAGAGGCACTCAATTCGCAGCTGGGTTTTACGAGTTTTTGATGCAACATACACGCAAGCAATCATAGCGCGGACGTGGTAACGAAATGAGTACATAAGATTATGTAAATGCATTCCCAACGCCAGGCTTTCCCCGTATAGAAGACATGGGGATTGTGCGTCCCAAACCGATTGAAGTAGCGTCGGATTCAGGCAGGTGGCGCGGATAGACCGGTACTAGCTGAAGATGGCATCCTACTTAACAAGGCTTGCGCTATCTTGTGGGCAACTACAAACACGGCATATTTTTGAGCAAGAAAATGGTCCACAAAAAACAATGACTTAAAGCCACATGGATATGGACAAGTGCAGAAAATTTGGGTTTTGCGCGGGTGTGCCACAGAACATATTTTTTTTCCCAAGATGATGGTTTAGGATGGTTTAGGTTTTTGTGGTTTCGAGCGATTTTCCCACGGAATGGTCCTTACTCGGATACAAGATGATCCAAGCGGAGTGCCCAGGCTGCGGCAGGTTTCCTGTAAGCATTTGTGTTTGAGCCCTAGTAACGGCAGCTGACTGAGCCAAAGTATGTCTCATAAATCTCGTTATAGACTAATAGAATCTAATAGTGACTATCAAGGGCTATAGACTGCCAAGATATCTATATAGTTTAAACAATTGTAGGGTGCCCGAAGTTGCTCCACCAAGGTGATGCGAGCCCGCATGGCAGGGACACACGACCTTCCCCATCTCCAGACACATCCACGAGTCGTGGTATGCGGGGTAGTCCAATAGGCAGCAGTGGTGGCAGCAAAGACAACGAACACAAGATCACCTTCCGAGTGCTTGGCCGAAACTTGGCTGTGGCATCATTTCTGCGACACTGCAACATGGGTCCTGGGCCCCCGTACTTCTTCGTCGTGGAATGGTAGCGCTTCCAAATTGGGGGGTTTTGTGAAATCCAGATTTGCACAAACCGCTTGCATGTTGCCGTCGCATTGTCAGCATCTCATCAGCTGATCAGGCTACTTGGTACCATCTACTTTGGTTGCTTTAAGGAGAACTGAGAGGAACTAACATATCTGGTTGTAAGGAAGGGAACCAGAAATGCCATTGAGAAGTACCAGCATCATCATTGTGTGCCCTGCTGGAAGTCGGACATGAAATGATATGAAAACCACAAGTGACTATCCAATCTGCGGGTCGAAAGGAAATGGCGAGCTACTCTTTGCATCACGGTCAAAGCAAACCGTGCGTACATGGATTAAGCGGAACTTGGACAGAGAGAAGCGCAAACTATGACTTTGCTTCCAGTCATTTTTTGTCGCTTTCATAAAACATCAATCATGAGACCCTATTGCGCACACACGAACACATACACGCAGTACATGATAATATCAAAACTAGTATACAACAAGTATTCCCAACCAACACACGAAGTTTGGGGGCAACAGTGAAGCGAAACCCTTCGGTATTGGAGGCGCAGCTCCTTTTGACTCTGGATGCGACAAGCGCGCATTAGTCCCACCACTTTGGGCCATACACCAATGGTTGATGTACATGTGTGATCCCACATGCCCATGTGCACAGCGTTGCACTTGACATTGGAGGGAAAGTGTTGGTGTTGGTCCAACTAGCTGCCGCTGCTTCGTGGGCTGTTCTCCTCCTCAGGCTCGGTATCCACATACTCCCGGAAATGCATCTGCTCCAGGATTTCCAGCAGACGAATGCGTTCTCGTTCGAGAACTCCGATCCGGCGGAACAAGGCCTCACTTGATAGTTCCTCTCACCCAGTTCTGGGTTGAGAGTATCCACTTGCACCTCAGCTGCCACCAGCTCTCTGCCATCTCGGCCTTGAGCTTGTTGTAGTCTCAGCTTTCGGATGGTCTCGATCAGCGTCACGGATTGGCGTTCTTCTGCACGCCAGGCGTTGAAGTAGTGATCTCGTTGACCTTGAACTTCATGTAGGGCTTCCGTGAGGTCCGTGCACTCGATGCCTTTGCGGACGTAACTGTCCTGTACTTCTGCTGCTTGTTATTTGACATCTTGGAGAGCGTCCGAGAGACTGCTGAATGCATGTCTCGGTGGATGCATGCGTGACGCATCTCACTCATCTCAGTGAGCTCGTGTAGCTCCAGGGACTGTGTCTCTGTTGTGGTAGTCCTTGATGTAGGGCTCGATCTCGTCATCCACCAGACCACCTTGTCGATGTCGATGATCAGGATGAAGACAAACGTCAGGAAATAGACCAGCGGCCACCAGCCGTTGCCCTCAATGACGTCGGATCCCTTCAGCGTCTCTGCGCTGACCAAGGCCACGGTTGCAGAGGCAATCTTTGAAGTCATTGATACCCTGGAAGCTTCGCGCTCCTGTACTGTCTTCTTCTTGGATGCGGTGTAGGACGTATCGTCCACCAGTTGAAGCCATCCACGCTTCCGAGCATCTGAGAATTGCTGTCTGGACCCGATTTTTGTGAGTCCATCAGCAAGTTGTCTTTCGCTGCTCACCCAGCGCAGTTGTCCTTGAACTTGTTTGATCAGGTCAAAGAGGGCCTTGCAATCTGTGACGATTGCAGTTGGCATGTCCAGCTTGTCCTGGGCGTCCTTGACGTTCAGCTGGGGCTCGAGGAGCATCTTGAGAAACATCTTGAGCATGAAGGTCTACTCCAGTGCGCTTGCCATAGTTTGACTTTCAGCACTCAAGGAGGATCGGCATACTCGAGGAAGTTTGAACGTCCAGGCTAGAGGGCTGTATCGGCATTTCTCACCTTTCAGGGCTTGTCGATCTGTTGCTACGACCAGATACCCATCTTGTGATGCCAAGTCAGTTCTGACACCAAAGGCAGCATCGCAGAAACAGATGATGGCAAGGTCCTTGATGTTGGAGACGACCTCCTGGAACTTCAAGGGTTGTTCGCAGTCTCCTCGCCAAATCGTAGAGCCTTGTTGAGGTTCTGGATCACAGTTTCATCACCAGTTGGAAGCTCACCTACCAGCAGGCTGGTTGTTGCACATAGTGGTGAAACACCTTGTCCACCCGGCCATTGTAGGGCTCCAAGAAGAGCTTCCAGTGATTTCTTGGGACTTTGCATTTACTGGCAAGAGTTGTGAAGGTGTTGATGAATCTTCAGATCAAAGCAAGTTGACAACCCTGGTCATGCATGATTCACATACAGGAGCAGTTCATTGTGTGCCTGTCAACAACAAGAGCCAAACGAGATACATGAGTCAAGAGGTGCTGGGATTTATCAACTTCACTGGACATGGAAAGGTAGCACTACGATGTGATCAAGAGCCAACGATGTTGCAGATTCAGAAGTTGGTTCAACGTGCACGTCAGAGACTCAATCTTTCCACTGTGATTGAGAATGCAAAAGTTGGAGACCACGGTAGCAATGCTGCAGTTGAGAAAGCAATTGACAGGGTACGCAATCAGGCCTCAGTTTATTTGCATGCCTTGTCAACAAGTACGGCACTTGGTGGTTTCTGCGCTGTTGAACTTCTCCTTGATGTTGCGCTGTTTTGGAACGGTGATGGGACAGATCTTCTGCAGATACTTCTTGTAGCTGACCTCGATGGTTGTAGATGTCCTTTGGAGAACACCACCACAGTAGGTCACCTCGTGCTGTGGAGTCAGCTCTTCCCACTTGCCAAACTCGAAGCCTTTCTTGAGGGAGTCGATCATCTGGCCAAACTCACTCGAGGGATCGCCGGCCACCAGCATGTCATCGACATGAAGGATCAGCATTCCTTTGAGTTCACCTGTGTCGCTGTAGTAGGCGAAGGTGCACTTGTCAATCTGCTGGGGCACCAGCTTCAGATTTCGAAGTCTCCTCGTTGCTTCTTTGAACCATAGCAGAGGGGCATCGGCAAGTCCATAGGCACTCTTCAGCATCCTCATGTGAACAGGTTGTTGTGAAGTGTAGCCAAGTAGTGGTCCACAGTCTCGGGACCAAGAGTTCTCTGATGAACTTGGCTCCAGAGAGAGGCGGCTTTCACGTCGCCACACCACACCAGCCACTTGAGAATCGCTGCCAAGGTCAGCAGCACCAGCTTGCCAGATCTCTCTGCCGTTGGGCTGTTCTTTTCCAGGTTCAAGAGGTCAGGATCCTGATATCCTCTGAGGACAAGTCGTGCTTTGGCACTTGGAACATCAGAACCAGGTTGTGGAGGTTTCCATGTCGGGCTGTCACAACTCGATCATGAGGAAGTGATCCCTTGGAGTCATCTCCAAACTCCCAGGCTGCATTCTTGAAGTGGGACTGAAGCTCCTTCTTCTTGGCCTCGATGATTTGTTCACGTTGAGACTCGTTGAGCTCTCTCTGGTTGATTTCTCCTTGGCGTTGTCCTCGGATTGCAGAAGCCATCCAGGTCTCGTCGAGCTCGAACTGGTTGTCAGCAACCACCCAACCTTCAGGTAGAGAGCCATGTGAAGTGTCCACATACCTGATGTCGTCGATCATCATCTCATCATCATCGGGATGGTCGGGGATTGCAATTTCCTCAGGCTTTGGCTCCTCAGTTCTTGCCTTCTTTGATGGCGATTCATCTTCTGGTAGTGGAGGTAGATGTTCAGGTGCTGGAGTTCCAGCATCTTTGGCAGTTCAGTTGATGCGTTGCTTTCTCTCCTTCTAGGAGTCGTCTCTCGCTCTTCTCGCAAGTCAGGCATCATCATGCTGACAATTCCAGGCACTTCAGCCTCATCAAGTGGCTCAGTTGGGGCATACCCATCAGAGACATTGTCAGCAGGAACTCCATCAGGAGGTGGATCTTGAAATTCGAGAAGATCTTCCAAGGTAGGCTCCAGGTTCTGGGTGTCCTTGGAGAGGTCTCGGAACTGTGTTGTTGATCTTGCTTGAAGTTCTTCCAGATCCTTCAGAGCATCAGCTGGGTTGACCGGAAACGATGTTCTGGTATCCTCAACCAATGGTCTCACATGTGCTGGTGAGCATCGCAGCAGTGAAGTGCCATGCACCAGCCATTGAACCACCACCTTTCCACCATCGTTGGAGATGTTCAGATCCTTGGATACGCCAGTACCAGCAGCGTTGCCCAACCAGCACCTTGTCCTTACCCTCGTAGAACTTCTGGTTCATGGCTCTTCTGAGCTTTGCGTCAGAGTCGGCCTTGAGGAAGGCGATGCCAGCTTGAAGTCGTTTCTGCTGAATGTTGGCAAAATGCGTGGCCTCATCGATGTTGTCAACACCAGGGTTGTAGAGCTCGGACATCAAAGAAAGGTCTTGTTGTGGAGTCTTCCCCAACACCCATTGATTTGGAGTAAAGCCTGTTGTAAAAGACATCCCGTTGAGCTTTGGCGGAACGTAGATGGCTGCATCTTTGAGCACGGAGAGAGTGTGACCCCCTTTGTCATCCATGTGGAGTTCCAAAGCTCTGCGAAGGACTTGATGTCGTCGCTCGACAACTCCAAGCTGTGGCTCTGAGGAGGGGTGACCTCCAGGATTACTCCTTGGTCGGAGCACCAATCTCTCACGGCCTTGCTTTCCCATCCTTTTGCAGCATCTACTCGCAAGTACTTGGGCAATCCAAAGTGACGCACCCAAGTGCGCTCCAGGCCCTTGACAAACTCAGTGGACTTCTCGCTCTGCAATGCGGACGGCAATGTAGCGAGTTGCTTCATCACACATAGTGAGGACACATTGACGTCCTGTCTCCAGTTGAATCCATGAAGAGTCCACCACCAGGAGATTGCCAAAAGTGGTTGAAGAGATTCCTCCAGACGGTGGTACTTGAAATGGTTTTGCCCTGTGATAGCAGTTGCGGCACACGTACTCCCGGGCTGCTTGAAGCACGTTCTCTGTCGCCTGCACCTCCGTCAGCATCTTGACCAAGACCTCGGGCGATGGATGACCCAGGTTCTTGTGCAGTCTGGCGACATAGTCCACCGCTCTTGCTCCAACCTTCTTCTTCAGCTCTCGGTTGGCTTTGACCATTTCACTTCTCTTCCTCTGGGTTCAGTGCCTCATCATCTCGAGCTTTCTCCAGTTCAAGCAGCTCTGCATTCTGCATCACCATCTTCAGCAGCATTGATCTCAGCGATGGTCTCCTCTCGCTGTGTCATGCAGTGCGCCAGTTTATAGGCCATCTCGTAGGGATAATCTTAACATAGTCGAGAAGACCTTGTCCCTGAATGTAGCCTTCACACGGTGTGTGTTAATGGTTGCCAGAGCATGCAAATCGCAGCATGTGCTATAGAAGAGGTTGTGTCTGGTTGTCAGCAAGCATGTTGGCTTCTTGACTGGAAGCACAACTCCATCATCGTTTGGAAGTTCAAGATCAAGCTCGCACTGATCAATGTAGGTTGTGAACCCAACCAGAGGCAGAAAGGCCTTTGTCTGCCATGCCCTTGATGGCCATGGATGTTCGATGGTTGCATTGCGTCCAGCTCGTTGTTGGATCTTGTAGACAATTGCAACGAACACCAAGTGAGTGTCATGGTTGACAGTTCGGGCATTGATCAGAAACTGTCGAGCTTCTTCACTCCGGCTTGCTGTGAGCTCTTGCAAAGAGCTCCAAAGACGGCATTCTGGAGAGAGATGAACATCATCTGGCTCCTCGTCCATCAGCAGCTTGATGAAGGACTTTCGGTCTTTTGGCCTTGAAAAGTCCCAGCCTTGTTCAACTCCGAACTTTCGGGCTGAGCAACCTTCCAGCTTGTTGATTTCCTCAGGCGTCCACGTCCTGCGTAGACTTCCCATAACACATGCTCTTTACGAGCAGGTTCATGAGCTTGAGCCTTGAGGTTCTCGTGCTCCTTGACCAAGTTCCGTGCCTCGTAGATCATCTTGCGCAGCTTTGCAGTGGTGAGTCGAGCTGTCGGCGCTCCTGTGATTGAATTCGTCGTGCATCTTTCTGGTGAAACTCCATCATCATGAGTGCTTCCTGTGCTCTTCTCGGTGATTGGATTCAGTCTTGGCCCTGATTGTGATTCTCCAGGTCCGGCACTCGGATGAATCTCCCTCTTGACATCCTCCTGCTTGATGTGCTCGGCATTGCTTGGCGTAGCCTCACTTGGGGCTGTCACCACAGTGGTCTCAGCTCGGCTGATGATGTCCTCATCGTCCAAGATGGCCGACAAAGGAAGTCGTTCAATGGTGTCGATGTGGTCGGTGAAGTCATCAGGCATGAGGATCTGCTCGTCCTCATTGTTCCTCAGTTCTTCAAGGTCAGCTGCAAGCCTGACTATGTACTCACTCAACTTCTTGCCATTCACCACCTCGGTATCGAACCATGTTGTTGTCATAGTCCACAACGATGCCGAACTCCCGCATAAAAGGCCGTCCCATGAGGATCGGCGCATTGCCACCGATGATGTAGCATAGGATCTTCCTCCGTTGTCCTCCCACATAGGTCGGAATGAGGCAGCACTGTTGGTGATCTCCTTCTGACTGTTGCCGTACTTGAAGCCTTTCTGGCATTTGAGGACTTCCGCTTCCTTGTGGATGTTGACACCCAGCACCTCAAGGAGTTTGCTGTAGTTGCCAACCATCTTGCGGCTTCCAAGCACTGAAGCTGCTCCACCATCTTGAACAGCTCGATCAGTCAGGTTGTCAAGGTCCTGAGTTGAGAAGGACTCGTCATACTCCACCACCATGCGGACGTCATCTTCGTCTCCTGCATTGTCTGCCTTGCGCTTTCTGTCACCTGATGCAGGGCAGTTCTTGGCTTGATGTCCTGCAACTCCGCAACAAAGACAAAGACTCTTGCCCAGAGCTTCAGCTCAGGACTTGGCAGAACCACGCTGGGGTGGATTCATCTGCCTGCTGCTTGGAGGTTTACCCTTTCCTTTGCTACTCTTGCCTTTTTCTTTCGTCGATTTTCCACCTTTGCCACCATCTCGAAGAGGAGGTTGTTGGACCATGGCCACCACCGGATAGAATCCTCGGCTGGTCCTCATCCGATTGAGATTCTTCGCGTCGATGTAGCTGGCAAAGGCATCGTCGTACTCGTCCACATTGAAGGTGTTGTCGATGGGGTTGGTGTCATTCTCTGTGTCATAGTAGTACGTCTCCTCACCATCCAGCGCCTCGTCACCTTCAGCCTCATAGTCATCCCACTCCCAGTAGACCTCGTCATCAGGCCATGCTTCATCATCCCCTGGTCTTGGAGGTTGAGCCTTTGTTCCGTGTGGATGAAGCTCCATCCACCTTGCTGTCCTGGCCAATGATGAAGTTCATCGCCTTGATGGCCTCGTCCAGGGTGAGATTCGAGTCACCTAGTTATGTCAGGATCAGCTGTCGTTGATCGGTCTCTTTCTCCCGGTTTGCCAGCTTCATCTTCATCTGGCAGATATCGCACCTGCGGCGATACTCTCTGTAGTCGCTCTGCTTGCCGTTGAACGTCGGCACATAGCTGCAGCTTTGCCCGTGTACGCATCTGCAGCTCCACCGCTAGAAGCGGTCCCAGTGCCAGTTGCCATGGCTGCAAACAGTTATGTCACACCAGAGTTTCCTATTGTTATGCCGGGGTTACCGGCTCCGCTACCAACAACAAGTATTCCCAACCAACACACGACGTTTGGGGGCAACAGTGAAGCGAAACCCTTGCGGGATTGGAGGCGCAGCTCCTTTTGACTCTGGATGCGACAAGCGCGCATTAGTCCCACCACTCTGGGCCATACACCAATGGTTGATGTACATGTGTGATCCCACATGCCCCTGTGCACAGCGTTGCACTTGACAGTATATACAAAGACTATAAAGAGATATATAGAGTATATATATAATATATATTAATAAAAATGATATGTATATATAAATGATAAATATGTATATAAAAATTATATATATATATATATTATATACATATATATATATATATTACTGATATAGATGTATATATGTATATATATTATTACTGATATACATAATATATATATGTACACATGATATATATATGTATATATGTACATGCATATATATATATAGCTATATATATATATATGTACATGCATATATATAATTATATATATGTACATGCATATACATATATATATATATGCATGTACAGTGATACACATACGTAGGTATAAATGATACGGTAGCCATATGTCTTCTATATGATATACATATGTACCTGTACAAATATACATATAAACACACACAGAGACACAGTTTTGTTCCTTCATGATTTTTTAGGGAACGTTCATTCTCAAGAAGGACATGTTTTTTCTTCAAGTCATGTTTCAGGAAAAGGAGTCATCATAGAGGAGAAACGCAGATCCTCAAGGCGTTCCCTGAAGCGCTTGTCGCCATCAGCTCAAGGCAGGAATTGGCTCGAACTTCAAAACTGACATCTGCCAGAACTGAGAGCTAGTGCTGAGTCATGCCGAGCCCACGGAAGTAGACGATCCAATGACCAGCACTTGCAACACTGACACGCAGCTATTCAAGGCCTAGCAGATGCTGAGTCACTTTAGGTGCAGTGCTGTGCCGCGACCCAGAGCGCAAGGATTCAGAAAAGGGGCGTGCAGCCCTGAAACACCATCTCGAGACTCGAGATCACGCATTCTTGCTTTCCTGAGCGAGTCTCTTGAACAACAAATTGGACTGTGCGGGCCCATTCGGGTTTCCCAAACTTCGGGACCTGCCACCTGGGCAAGTAAAGGCAAACCACATGTTGAGAGTCTGCCCTTTGTGTCCATCAACCTCCTCAATTTGCTGCTGTTTGATACCAGGAGCTCTGCATGTGGACAAGACCGACACCTTTGAAGATGTTGGTTTTCTGGGTCTCTTGCCCGTCGACTGCAGAGCTACCCGTGCTTCCATTGCGAGAGGGACAATGTTTGAAGACTGCAGAAGGGTCCTTCGAGGTGTTTTGGAAACATGGAAACATCATGAACCATAGCAATAGAGACTTTGATCACCTACTGTACTAGTAAGTAGTAATAGTAATTGTCCAGCCAGGAAGCAAACTTTGTTTGTGGATGATGAAATTCTGGGCTTCTTGAGAAGACAAATCTGAAACTGCAATATTTGGCTCAGTTAGCACTGGTGTTGCCGAATCTCTACAAGCCCCAGTGCTTCCAACGTTGTACACGCAGTCGTGACCAGAGCCTGCTTTTGTCACGATCACAATGGTAGTCATCAAGCATTTGCTGGTGATTCTAGCGTGGCTGCAGGCCGAGAAACGTCAGTGAACGCGGAGAATATTTGTTTCAATGCCAGTGAGCTACTGTGTGCGTGTGCGTGTGCGTGTGTGTGTGTGTGGAACATCTGAAAAGATGTAAAACTTCTAACTTGCTTGTTAGGTTTTTTGAGAACTTTGTTTTTGGTATTAGTTATCAAACTGTCACAGCAGGGGGGCAATCTCATGTTTGCAGCTGATTGCCCAACGAAGAGGGCTGCATTCATGACTGATATGACTCTGGGACGCTGGAGTCACGTACCTGCTATTTCAATTTTGTCGTCAATGGCAACCGGCTAAGCCAAGTACCGGCATGTCGGTTTTCCAACATTTTTCGAACCAAACCACTGTACGGTTTTCGCAATCTGATTTACTGCCGACTTCGTCAGATGGAACAGTTGCATCTAGCAAGGACGTAGAAAGAATTCTTCTTCACTGTTTCTCACGCCTAGTCATTCCCTATCTCCTGTCAGGTCTAACTGAAGTGTCTTTGCACGTGCGATGCATTCCACATCAGTAATTCGATAAGATGTTTCTGAGCAAGTGTAAGTGTGTGTGTGTGTAACATCTAAACAGATGTAAAACTTCTCTCTTTTTCTTCCTTCCGTCCTCTCCCTTTCTAAATAACGCAGGGGAGTGGTGAGCAATGATGAAGTCACCACTCAACGAAGACGCTTCATCATTTGCTGTGATATGACGAAGGGACGCCTTTGTCACGTACCTGCCTTTTTTGAATTTGTTTCCCATCTAATTTGCATGTGCCAGGATTCAGTTCCTGCCGGATCACTATAATGATCCATTCTTGTCTAGTGTGATTCCTATGGTGACTCCGACATGGTGCCATAGGGCCAATTGAGGCAACCCTGTTCAGGGTGAATGTCGACTGATCGGAACTCTGAATTCACACATTTTAACCTGGTAATTCGTTTAAGTAAAGTGCAACAGTCTGCCTTTCGGTTTTGCACCTTTTTTGTGAAGTCCTGCCGCTCCGGCTGTCCCTTGCGAGCTCCAGTGGAAGCAGTTCTTTGATTGTGAAGCGGTGCTGAACATTCAGAAACCTCCTTCTTCGCAGCAACTTTTGAAGTCACATTGCAACAGTACATGAAAAAGGATCAGGCAGGCACACGACTTGCAGGTTTGGTATTCTTTCCTTTTGGTTCTCTGGTGAGGTGAAACATATTGTGCATCTAATTCGATGGAACTTGGCAGCTGTTATATGCCGATTGGGGCAAGAATTGACCACGGGCCTGGAGTGGCGTAACGCACGAATTCTAGGTCTAGGAACTGAATCCTGTTTTTTAACTAATTGTTTTGGTTTCCTTGTCTGTCACCAACTAGTCCCCCATTTGGTCCCTAATTTTCCCCGCGTGCCTCTCCGTAATGTGTCGTGGGGTTTAGGTCTGTGCGCTGTTTTGGTCAGGTCCGTTTCGCCGTGTAGGTTGGTTCCGGAGGTCCGTCTGTTCCCCTCCCCCCCTGCGCTGTTTTTGGCCGTCTGCCCGTCGTGTGTCCGCTTTTTTCTTCCTCTTGCCTTTCAGGGTTGACCCGGCTCTGGCCGGGTGTGTGTGTGTGTAACATCTAAACAGATGTAAAACTTCTCTCTTTTTCTTCCTTCCGTCCTCTCCCTTTCTAAATAACGCAGGGGAGTGGTGAGCAATGATGAAGTCACCACTCAACGAAGACGCTTCATCATTTGCTGTGATATGACGAAGGGACGCCTTTGTCACGTACCTGCCTTTTTTGAATTTGTTTCCCATCTAATTTGCATGTGCCAGGATTCAGTTCCTGCCGGATCACTGTAATGATCCATTCTTGTCTAGTGTGTGTGTGCGTGTGCATATGTGTGTTCTTTTGACAGGCGGCGGCGATAAACTCATCGATTTCTTCAGAGTCAGGGGCCCAATGGCGGAGATAGCGGTCGCATTCAGAGCATTCGTTTTAGCAGAATCCTTTTTGTTTTTTTAGTCCCAAAGACAATGCCGATTCTCAAGGATTTCTGCTGAATTTGTTGGGAATGCAAGTCTGCAAAATGACTTCTGTCATCATGTGGCTTCAAGACAGTGTTCAACGCATGTGCTCGTCCTGTTATGAAAGCCGTGAACAGGAATTGAAACCCACAAAGAGATAATGTCTCTGCAGATCTGCTTTCTTATCTCTAGTACTCTAGTAGCACATTGGCACACTACATGCAATTTAGGACAACGGACGGACAAAGTCCTTGTATTGGGCCCACGATGTAGCTGTTGATACAGCGCAGTATAGCTATCGATTGCAACGCAGATCTCAACATTTTTTTTATCATCACATGGCAACTGTACCTTATTGATCTTGCATCGCAGTGAGTCGCAATGTGTTCATTTCAGAATCATATCTTGCTCAGGCAGGCATGCGAAGGCCACGATGGGGCTGCCTACCTTCAACGCTTTTCAAAGGTGCACCACATGTACTTGCACCCCTGAATGTTCTTCCTGTTCTTTTTTTTCGTTCTTCCTGTGGATCCTGTGTTTCTTCTTCTATTGCTTCTTTGTTGTGTTTGTTTTGCTAATCAATGCGGCATAATGTGGCTAACCGCAGGCGTCAGCATCTAAGTCACATTAGTGGACAAGACTACGTACTATACAGTACCAGTTTCTTGGAGTTTGTCAAGAATGTAACTGCTGTTTTAGCATGTGTGGAAGTTTGTGAATTCTTTTGCAAGCCGTGGCTGTCGACTGGTTTTGTTGTTTGTTTTACCGAATGATTTGCTGCGTCGTGTGCCACTGCTACAATAGGTTATTCAGCTACAGTATTATTCAGCTTATTCATGTCAAGTTTGGATATTGTCGCTCCAAGTTTTAGCAATTATTTTAGTCCTGCCTGTACTAGCACTTCAGCTTGGCACTAGAATATTGGATAGTCGGATGTGTACATTGGCGTTATATCACGTATTTTCTATGTACACAGCGCATCCTTTGTTTCCTGGCACAGTTGGTAAATTCCTCAATCATTCCTTGCCAAAATCAGCAAGATCTGCATGCTCGTAACTTTGCTGGCCAGGAGTGACGTTCTGTCAAGAGCTTTCATAACCACTTGCGTTCCTGGATCCAGCTTAAGTGGTAGTATTGTTGTAAATCTTAATTCAACCACTGTCACTGCATTTTCTCCTTTGTGGACTCTCCAAGAGGTTTTTGTGTGCACATGGGAACTGTAGCTTTGCTGTGCTCCATAGCGTGCTATCGACCAAGTGATACCAAGTGAATGCATGTAGAATATTTGCTACTTTGACAAAGACAACCCAGCTTTTGTGGAAGGAGATCCTCGGACCAAGAAACAGCAGATGATGTTAGAAACTTCAGAAGCCTTTGTTCGGACTTGTTTATGGGTTGCGTGATAGCAATGGCATGCAAAGCAACGCTACAAAACATAGCTGTCAATTTGTGGGTCAAGTGTCGCAGCTGTCACCAAACGAAAATTGCGGCTCTGCTGACATTAATTTTCAAGGTGTTTTTGCATGGAAACGAGGAAAAAAAACCCTGCTTGAGCCTTGATCAGTTGATATCAGTCGTTTCAAATACGCGATGCCCGGGTGCTGCTTTTTTCAAACAACTGAGTTTGTTTGGATTTGCTTGGCCTTCAAAAAGGTAGAATGGATAGGCACAGAAATTTATAGAATACTGGAACTTTTGATATATTGCTTGCCTTTTCCCATCTGTTGTATTCAAACCGGTACAAAGCACTGGATCCACAAGTTTTGATTTTGTTTGCAACATAACTGGATGCGTAAAAAAAATATGAGTATCTCCAACCAACTCGCTTCCCTGCATGGTGGGACTTCTCTTCCGTCTCCCAATCAGACAATATCAACACGACATGAAGCATTCATTTTGTGGGACTTTATGACTGCATTAAGACATTCAGGTCACGTGTTTGACATTTTTGATTTTGATATTTTTGAGTCATATTGTATTGAAACCATCCAGGAGTCATCGGCCTCCTTGGCGACATCCTTAGTGTCCGAGTGGAGGGTTTCTGCATCAATAGATGATGTGCCCTTTGATCCAGTGAATCCAGTCCCTCACAGCAGCTGCGGAACACCGGTTGTTCGGGTGCCGACTTTACATGCAGAAAGTCCCTAGGTCATGAAAGATAGTGTCAGCTACCCGCAGTTTTCTTTGCTGCAATCTTTAGCACATTTTCCTTTTCCCTGCATTTTCCCTGCAAAACTGCCTACATCCTCCTGTCACAACATATCACAACATATCGCAACTACATACCTTTTGCCCCCCCTGCTTGCTCTCAAGTTGAGACTTCACTGCTGTTTGTGCTGTGATGTTTGCGAGATGCCTTTAGAACCAGGAC